CCTATGAGTAAGAGCACGTTTGACGGACATCGCCATGCGTTGCACACTGCTGCGAAGGAGGTTGCTGAGAGGAGTATGAAGAATGCAGCAGAAGCCGTCCTTGTGAAGAGAGCAGATGATGCCGATCCTGCAGATGTCGCGGTTTCAACAGATGGCACTTGGATGTGACGCGGTCACTCATCTCTCTACGGTGTTCAGTCTGTGATCTCTTATGACACCAACCAAGTTCTGGACATTTATGTATTATCTAAGCACTGTAGTCAATGTGTTAGCTGTGTTAGGTACCTCCTCCCGTACAATCTGCAACCTTTCCCAAGCTGGCCTGAATGCACCCTGTACTTACCCTCGTACTCACCTTTCGTTCCGTTGGCCTGGGTAGCTACTTGCGCGCCCATATTTGCCATAGCTACCCAGGTCCTTTTATCTTGCTCTCTCTCTCTCTCTCTCTCTCTCTCTCTCTCTCTCTCTCTCTCTCTCTCTCTCTCTCTCTCTCTCTCCCATCAAGTAGTCTTTTAGTTCGGCTGTCTCTCCGTCTCTAATAAAATTAATGTCTTTCCACCTATCCGTTCCTGTGTCCGTTGTGTTTGGGAGTATGACTCATTATGAGGGCTCAAACGATTAGTCCGATTAACCGGTTGCAGACCGGTTACGAAGAATTAACGGTTAACCGATAAAGATAACGGTTACGCAGTTACTTTTCAGTCAATTTTTCAAGTATCAGGTCGTTACAAAGTGTGCACTTTCGGGGGCTGTCGCAGGCGTACGCAATTTCTGGGCTGTCAACTCGGTCATATCTGGTCTCTTGGTGTGAGAGTATGTATGAATGAGCATGCAAGAGAATGTACAAGTGTGCGTTGTACTGAATAGGGTACATTTTTTTTGAATGAGTATAGTCAAATATACGGTTAAAAAAGAGTCCGCAGGATTGCCGTGGCTTATAGGTTATAACCGGTTAACCGACCGTTAGCTTAGCAGTTAACCGTCAGGGGTAAAACCGTGACCGTTTGAGCCCTACTCATTATCACTACTCAACAGCTGGAAGAGTAGACATGATAGTAGTAGCAGTACCCGTAAGCAGTACCTCAAGTGCAAGCAGAGCCATAGCGCCGTAGCATGCAGTATCAACACATCTGCCTCGTCACCAGCCGTGGAGGCCAAAGCTGTAGTAAAGCTGTGGAAACGATCCGAGGACTGCAACAAGCTGCGCTATGTGACATGCATTGGAGGTGGAGACAGCAAAGGCTATAATAGAGTCGTAGTGTCTAGGCCGTATGCTGAGGTAGCAATTATTAAAGATTAGTGTATTGGTCATATTCAGAAGTGCCTCAGCAAATAGTTCCGAGATTCGAAGCAGCAACTCGGCTCCCAGAAGCTCTCTGATGGCAAACCTCTGTGTGGCAAGAACAGACTGACTGAAAAACATATGGATAGACTGAAGTGCTGTTTCGGCAATGCTATTAGAAACAGCGCGGGGAGACGTGCGGCTCATGTACAAGGCAATCTGGGCATCTGTGTGCCACCGTTCCTCTTCCGATGAGAAGCCGATGCATCCCTTCTGTCCACCTGGCAAAGATTCGTGGCGTGGTCGGCAACAGCGGCAAGCCGGACCGGACATCCAGTACAAGCATGTGGATGTGCTGCCGAAGGCCGTTCTGGACGCCATCAATCCCATCTACGTCCGCCTCAGCGACCAGGACCTGCTCCTGAGATGCCTGCACGGAGCCACCCAAAACACCAACGAGTGCTTCAATGGCACTCTATGGAGCCTCTGTCCGAAGTGGTCCTTCTGCTCTGCTGCTACCGTCAAGACGTCTGCCTGCCTTGCTCTTGCCGTGCTCAAGACTGCCCTATTAAAATATGAATAAATAATAATATGCAGGCAGGCATAGTGGGATGGTCTAAGACCATGATTGAGAAACAGAGGGTACCAGATTCAAGTCCTGCTTGGAAGCGGAAGGATTTTTAAAAAACATGGATGCAGTGAATGGGATTTTCGGTCTTTGACCACATGCTGGTGAGCTGATCTACTCACCTCCCACCGCTTTAGGAGCTGCATCTGCGCCTTGATCCTTGAAGGGTGGTGGCGTTCCTTCGGATGCGGAAAACTCGGCCTCTATAATATAGAGGCCGAGTTTTCCGCATCCGAAGGAACGCCACCACCCTTCAATTATAGAGAAACCGAGTCTGACGCGAACCGTGAAAAAAATAAATAATAATAATAATAATCAACGCAATAAATAGAGTAAGCTGCGCACTCAGTACAAACACCATAAGCAAAACTTGTTTTCATGTAAATAAAGAAGCTTGTTCCTAAACGTTTTCGTCGCCATCTCATCAGAGGATTACTGGCAAATCAACAATAGCTCTTAACTCAATATATATACGCACAATGCAAGTAATAATTTAGACCCTAACTAGCGCGATAAAATGAGAGCTGAAAGAAACATTACACCATTCAACGATATCAGGTGACAACAGATGCGATAAATTCACCACTAGAAAGTTACCATGCAACCACAAACGAGAACTACTGATCTAAATTCACAAACAATTTCAACGTAAACAAATTCTTTTTCTGCCTACACAAACGTTTGGTCTCGTTCACGTAGTCAAAGGTATTTGCGTGTATTGGAGTCTATCTACATTTTTACCACCAAGCCGATTTTGTGTAGGCAGAAAAAGAATTTGTTTACGTTGAAATTGTTTGTGAATTTAGATCAGTAGTTCTCGTTTGTGGTTGCATGGTAACTTTCTAGTGGTGAATTTATCGCATCTGTTGTCACCTGATATCGTTGAATGGTGCAATGTTTCTTTCAGCTCTCATTTTATCGCGCTAGTTAGGGTCTAAATTATTACTTGCATTGTGCGTATATATATTGAGTTAAGAGCTATTGTTGATTTGCCAGTAATCTTCTGATGAGATGGCGACGAAAACGTTTAGGAACAAGCTTCTTTATTTACATGAAAACAAGTTTTGCTTATGGTGTTTGTACTGAGTGCGCAGCTTACTCTATTTATTGCGTTGATTACATTTTTATCTCCACGGAAGCTTTTTAATAATAATAATAACAATGGTGTCAGGCGCACAATACCTGATGTCCTGAAGGCGAAGCATTGCAGTGCTAGCCAGTTCTCTGCTCTTGGAGCTCAGGAGCAGGACAAGGAGAGGCTCTACCGCTGAGCCAGGAAGGCCTCCAAGGAGCAGAAGCAAGGCAGAAAGCGAAGGCGTGCAGTACGGAATGGCCTGATTGATGCTTCCGCAGAGAAGGAGGGCGTTGTGTATGCTGTTGGTGCACTTTAGGTGCCTTTTTTGGCCTTTTTTGGGACTCCCAGCGAATCCGTTTGAGTCATATCTCCAGAATTATAAATTGTATAGTCATAAACATGAGGTTTATTCGCATCTACGTTTTCTCAGCTAGTCTGTGAACCTCAGAAATGGAGCAAACCTGTTTGAACTATTCAGTGTTTGGCTGTGTAAGGCAGCTACATGTGCGATGCTCTACTGATCGGCCGTGCTATAAGCTGATAATATAAGTTTTGGCTGCCTGGACGCAGGATTTCTTAGGTTCATCCTGTAGGTATGTGGTGTGCCTCTATGTGGATGCAGTTATTGCACCTTGTGGCACTAATGGCGTTGTCAGGTTTCTCAAACCGTTGTGGGTTCGCAAAATTGATTTTCGACGACTTTGAGGACGCCATAAATCTAACCGTGTTCCACCAGAGTGACTGTGATGATTTGTGGGGTTTGCTACTGGCATGTGCAGAAACTGACCAAAATTTCATTGAAAAATCATGTTTATAACGGGCGACATCATACTCCCCCCTCAGAATTTTCCCTGTCGTGAAAGTTGTTGCACTGCCCGATTCCATAACCATGATAACTTTATTATGCTCACCAAAATGATAAAAAAATGTTCGTAAATGTTTGCATTTTTTATCAATTATTTCAAGTGACAATGATATTTGCTCAAACCACTACAATCATGCAGATTTCACTGCGGTATACGTGATCATGTACATGCGCATCACTCTAGTCAAGGCGCAAATAATGTCCATGCCATGGAGAAGGTACAGCATGACTGACCTTCTCGACTTGAGCCAAATACAGCCAGAGCCTCCTCCAGGTGGAGAATTTCTTCATATCAGAGAAGTTGTAAGCCATTTCCGGGCTGGCATATCGGCTGGTGAGAGGGCTACGGTATTTGCTGTGGATGTCTGCCATTGCGATTATAAACAAGCAACACCAGTCTAGCTAAACTTAGTCTGAAATAAGTGGACGATGCTTGTCAGCTGTGGATTTTCTAGGCTTTCTCCGGTCGATCTTCCTCATTCAAAATCAAAAAGACATGCATGCATGCGGCGCGGCATTGACGCATAAAAATAATGACTGTATGAAGCATGCAAAAATAATTCATGATTTGTGGATTGCATGCACGTGCGCGTGGCGCAACGTAGACTACACGTGCACTGTCATCAAGAGTACATAACCTCGGGCCGGCCGGGGGGGTTATTACTCTTGCTGTCATGCATTGTTGTGCAAGCTTTGAAAAGAGTAAAAAAATTAATATTTCTGTCCCTGCACACGCGGTAGGCCTAGGATAGGCGGTACGCGGTCCGATCCATGATAATGATACGCCCACAAGGCCCTGTCCATCCAAGAGTACATAACCCCCCCCCCCCCCCCAGGGGGTTATGTACTCTTGGTCCATCCCGCAATCCCCATTTCAAGGCATTTGACTCGAGCAAGACGGGGAAGAGTACGGTATGCCTACTAGCAGAACTTAGCGCCCTGCACCGACGCACAACCCGGTGCACCGGTGTCTGTATGCCTGGGACTATACAGTGACCAGCAATTGTTCAGTAACATGCTAGGAGTTCACTAAGCAGCACTACATAAAGAGAGGCTCCATGCCGGGCCGTCAAGACCAGGGAGCTAGCCCCACACATACAATCACTATGTTGGTATATGTGGGGCTCCCTGGTCAAGAAGCTGCGGCAAACGACTGGCAAAGAGAAAGTAAACGACTGGAGAGACACACACATACGTACGTCGCAAAGTTAGACGCAAACATACATGCAGGTAAGCACTAGGCGCTGCACATACGTTCTAGATCCCATCCGCGCACAGGAAGTAAAGAGCAATGTGATGGGAGAGCGGGTTAAAAAAAAAAAAAAAAAAAAAAAAAAAAAGGATGACGTCAGTCAAAAGACCAACAGAAGAACTGTAAAAACCAGACGCAACGGGACAAAGTTAGCCACAGAATGGTGGCAAAACATAACAATGTGGTATGAGCACATTGAAGCCTGGTACAGGGTGTGACTGGGGTCATTAAAAATCCAAACAGCTAGCTACCCAGTTGGTAACATCTATGGGGACAGCGCCTATCAGCAGGATGGGACTCTCATAAGGATTCACAAGCATGTGAACTTGGCAACGGCATAGCGCATGCGCTGCTACACACATGTAAGCAATCCAAGCTAGGCAGGGTGGGCAGTGGGGACACGAGGACCCAGCATAGGACAGGGCAGCACCCGGCAGCGACTGGCACAGTGCTAAACCCGATGGCGCTAGGAAAGGCATGGAGCGACGGTGTATGTGGCAAGCTAGCCGCAGCAATGTAACCATGCAGGTGGACAGCTGGACTGCGGAATTGACTCAGACAGGACGGAAATACCTTGCGAACGATATCGTAACACGAACATCACGAGGGAAAAACAGACATACTGATGTAAGACTCCAACACCGTATGCCAATTTCGACAACAGGAAAAACCAGCACTAGCAATTTCTTTTCGGTCAGCCCCAAGAGGTTGGGGTTCCATGTTTTCTTGGCAATATCACCAAAAGCTTCGTAGCTCAAGCAGATTCTAGCAAGTAGCACAACTGCTGGTCGCATCCACACGCTGGACGTAGTGCTGTGCAGCAACGTTTGACTCAGCGAGCACCAAAGTATATCTGACCAAAGTGACTCGGACACGCGGTTCCAATTTCGGTGGTGAGAATCCGGACATCCGGATGCACGTCCAGAATAGAGCGAATTCCTGGGAAACAAAACAAAACAAAACCGCACACAGACACAGACACACACACACACAAGAAAAGTTGTACACTGAGTGTCCAAGAAACAGACAGACAGGACAGTGAGCACACGCGCTAGATGGGAGAGCACTGGAGCGTGCAGAACTACAATGTTGTAACTGCCTATGTGACTAGCCCAGCCAACCAATGCTGCTTTGGTCAATCCAGTCAGACAACATGGAAGCATGCGACTCATGCGCATCAACATCCCTTCTCTCTTATTGAATCCTAACTTAGGTTGCCGTATTGAAACCTGCTCCCCCTCCCAGCTTGAACAGAGGTACCAGCGGGTGCACCATGGGGCTTGAACACAGGCTCAAGCACATCTCTCAAGCACGTACCTCAAGCACGTATCTCAAGCACGTATCTCAAGCACGTATCTCAAGCACGTATCCGTAAGTGCAAAGCACAGTTCCCCAGCGGCAAACGCTAAACAGCACAAACATGCAGACGTATTACTTCCTGTACACAAACGGCCATCTTTTACCTTCATCAGTCGAGAAGAGGTTCAAAATGATGATACTGGACTCTGGCACTCTCCTTTCCTTGAGTAGCGCCACCGCCTTCAACAGAGATGCGCCGGTGTCTGCGAGTGAAAAAAAGATGGAGACATAAAATAAATTCATCGCATGATCAGATTATTTCTTACAGTGACAATTATGACTAATTTATGAGCCATTCACTTTCCGCATTGCGTGCGGACGGTCTTGCATCCTGTATGTATGCAAAGAGCTGATTCCACCATTGGAAAAATAACGTAATTCTGAAAGTTCATACCGTACGCGCTCGAATACAAGCCCCCTCTCAAATAGAGCCCGTGTGTCAGAGGGAATTGGAATAATAAAGCCCCGGCTCATATAAAAGCCCAGGCTATAATCGAGTGCGGAATGTCCGTACCATGCAGTGCAGTTACGGGTACTTTACCGTACAGCGATCGAGTGTAGTCACTGCATGTACTGATCAACATGAATAGTGTGAAACAATTGGTATTTCTTTTAAAATATAAAGCCCCCTCTCGAATAAAGCCCTCTCTCAAATATAACCCCCCTCGATGTGTCTTCTGGAAAAAAAGAGCCCCGCGGCTTCTATTCCCGCCTATACGGTATCAGCTAATCCACTAAGGAAACATCACGATCGTTTCAGCTCTACTGAAAACATATACTGTACGTAAAAGCTACCCATCCCAGTGGTTGCACACTCTGGGGAGTGGTGCACTCTTTGATCAAAGACAAACCCAAACAGCACTAACAGAGCACAAAATAATAATAATAAGGTTGCTGTCCGCAGATTGAGTAATAATAATAAGGTTGGGATATTATCCCAACCTCCTGATTTCCGCCTTTGAAAGCTAGGCCAAATCAAAGGGGCATTCGTGTGGCGTTCATGCTAAATGAACCAATGGACCTGGCCCTTACCAAGAAGGGGATGCATAAGGAACACAGCACGTTCATGAGCATCCGGTGGAAGCTTGGCATAAAAAACCTGCATCACAAAACACAGATTATCACGTGGCTGCCATGCATTCACATTTCGCTGAGCGCGGGTAAATCTGGCATAAGCCAGTGGAAGTGAAATACAGTGTGCATGTATTGACAAAAACCAATCATAACAAACCGTTACTGGTAAACAATGGGTTCTGCTTTTTGGCGGCTTTCAGCATAAATTCAATGACACATCTTTATCATGTCATCTTTTCAGTTATCATGCTTGTGAACTAGTTCACCGAAAAGAAAAGAAAATACTGGTACAGGTAAGTGAAGTGCTGCACACATGTCTGCCTGGCCGCCATGACATCACAGCAAGAGCAATGTGCTGCACTACAAGCTCAGCTGAACAAAAGCACCCCCGACTCAGGGGTGCAATGCACTTCGAAACACAAGCAAATGGAAAAAGGGGTGCCCTTACGGTCGGCTCCTCGTCGGGATTCTTTCTCTTGATTAGTAGCTTTCCAATGCGGATGGACTGGCAGCAGTCACGTAACGCCAGCTCCATGGCCTCACCTGTGTACATAGGACAGGGGGAATCATAATCAGGATCGAAGTGCAGTGGCCAGTGAATTCTCAGAATACCTTCATTGGGACCAGCCGTATTTAAACTGCATGTACCTGTTCTAAAGGAAATGATTTGGTGAGGCTTAGGGCCCGGTCACACATGAACTCAAAAGTAGCGGATCCGCTGAAGTGACGTCGCAGGAGCGAAAATGCCATGGCAACGGCGAAAAGCGGAACTTCCGCTCCAGCGGAAACTCAAAATCCGCTGCACCCAAAATGTTGGGAGCGGAACACTCGCTTCTGCGGTTTCGCTTCAGCGGAAAACACCACGGTCTGCTGTATATGGACTTGCTACGAGAAATTTGGCGGCGTATGATGTCCATGCAACAATTAATGCGTGCAAGATAGTCATTGACCTCGTCTATTCTCTGTACCGTATGCACCACAGTCCACTTTCTCATTTTCCGCCAAAGTAGGAGTTTGCCCTGTTTGTATGTGTGACCATACACATGTGGTTTCGCTGGAGCAACACCAGGCTTGCTGCCGCAGAACCTCGACGCCGAAGTGAACCCCAGTGCATGTGTGACCTTACGACACTTCCGCCGTTACTAGTAACCAGGGAGTCGTAAAATACCGGGAGGCGACACGAGATGCACAACCGCGTCGGATGATTGCCTCAGCTCGGGCACGAGTGCTGAGACCTCACGCGCTGCATGGCGAGGGACTTCCCATGAGGTCAAAGCGGCGCAGGTCATGCAAAAGGACGCGTTCGCTGTTTGGTCCAAAAAATTTGAAAACTCAATAAAATTATCCTGCACACAACGAATCCAGTGTCAGCGTTTTGTTTTTCTAAGTAATAATACTTTGTGCCTTGGCCTTCGAAGTAAAGGATGATGGAGCTTGACAGAGATGACTGCCAAAGTGATGAGTCCACCGTGGAAGATGTAGATGACTTATTCACTTGGTGACCTGAGTTGTGGGGATGTTCAGCTGTGGGCTACAGGTGAGATTCTTTCGTTTGCATGTTTTTGTCTCTTCCTTGTGGACACGAATGTATAATCTGTAGCATACCTAAGTGCCCGAACTGACCCGATAAATTAGGTGGTCGACACCATCCTTTTCATCCTAGTCTGCCCACGATGCATTGTCTGTTCACTGTGACAGGATATTTATTGAAGTCCTGAAAATTTACGTGTGTACCTAGTATGTATCATCACCGTAGATGATGTAAACCTCCATCCTCAAACCATACTTTGTCTATGTGCAGATCGATGTAAGAGTGGTAGTGCCATCATGGTGTACAGGCCTATGGAAGGTGCAGTGATCCATGGAATTTGCAAACTGCTGACAATGAGACAGGCGAGTGTTACTGAGGCGACGGAGTCATTCCTGCATGTTATTACGACACGGTTACACAAGGCATCAGGTACTGCAAATCTGCTACGCCAGGAAGTGTGCCAGCTGAAGGCATGCAAGGGTGCTGATATTTCGCAAGCATGGCAACAAATGCTGTCCGTCATCGCAACAGCTATTCCCGAAGTGAAAATCAATTGTGAAGGTCAGTGCGTTTTGCATGCATGTTGGAAAAAAATTGGCTTCTGACTAGGTATGCAGACTAGGTATGCAAACGCTGGCTTTTGAATACTAGTACAGTCTCTGCAACCACCAGTCCTTATATGTTGTCTTTTTCTTTTCTCTTCTTCAGATTTGGAAGTTACATCTGCAGTGCTAGCGAATCTGATAAGCTACCTGCATGCCACGGCTGCCGCTGCTATCAGGAAAGCGTCAATAGCACCATCCAAAGCTGCTGAAGCCATCCCCGAACCGGTGATTGACGATTTGTCTCACCTTGCTGAAAAGTACCATGGTGGTTGGTGCTTGGTGGCCGTGCGGCGTGAGCTGGAAGGAGCAAGGTGTCGCAACGACAACTTGCTGCAGCTTATACCTTTATTTGGCAAGGATGCCGTGACAAGCCTTCAGCCTTGTTTGGAGAATTTTGGAGCCATTCTCCAAACATCTGAGCATCAAGCGTTGCCCAGAAATGACCAACCGCTCCGTGAAACCGCCGATAGTGTGACTTTCGTCGCACAGAACCTTCTTCAGTTGGTCAGGTGACTCGGCGTGGCTCGGAAGCTCTGTATAAGACAAAATACGACACAGATAAAAACAACTGAACCAGTGATATGTGAATTTTGCGCTTGTGTGTGCACGAGCATGCATGTGTGTGTGTGTGTGTGTGTGTGTGTGTGTGTGTGTGTGTGTGTGTGTGTGTGTGTGTGTGTGTGTGTGTGTGTGTGTATGTGTATGTGTGCTTGTGTGTATGCTGCTGTGATAAGCGGTACAAGCAGTATACAGGATATTGACGGGTATTCACCTTGAGTGCATTCGCCGATAGTGTGACTTTCGTCGCAGAGAACTTTGCTCAGTCGGTGAGGCGACTCGGCCTTACGTTTCCTGAAGGCAATGTGTTCAGAACAGTTATGAACAGCTATGAACAGTTAAGAAATGACAAATATTGTTTGCAGTTCATGGGCCATATAGATGTGAAACACTTTGAATGCAGAAGAATGAGGATAGCGGCATCAAATACTGCATGGATTCTGTTTGATATGCTACTTTTTTTTCCCTTCCATGGAAAGGTGAGTACATCGTCGAACTTCATCTCGAAACTTCACACAAACCTAGAATGGAACTTGGATAACATGAAGGGGCCATGGGCATGGTGTGTTTAGTGGAGAACTATTCCGAAAACAGGGTGTCATTCGCATTGACTCAATTCAAATTTGAGTACATTTCGTGAATAACTTACCTTGACATTCCGTCGTCTCCAAAGCAGTGAACTTCCAAAAAAAAAATTAAAAGCCACGGCTCAACCTAAGGTAATGCGTGGTACGTATCAGAAACAACCAGCTTTCGCTCTGGAGATCCAGAATAGCCTCGAAGCATATAGCAAAAACAATTGAGAAAAAGAAGATGACGACGACGTTTCAATCACGCTTCAAATTTCGCGGGTCGAGTGCGGCAATCCTCGGATCGTGAAATGTGTGGCGTGTCGCCTCCCGGTATTTTACGACTCCCTGCTAGTAACCCTTTACCAGCTGATGTGTACATGAAACTTCAAATGATCGTAACTCTGTCAAAACTCGCCCTAATTCAACAATTCAAATATCCAGGTCGAAGAGAAAACTCTCAGCTGTCCCTAGCATCAACCCGCTATGAGCTACAACCTGCAATTTCTGAGATAAATCGCTCGCAAAATGAGCCCCTGATCGCGGCAACTGGTACGCATTGAGCACGACTCAAAACGATGACATTTTGAGACTTTTCGCTGACCGGATCAACTCCAATTTGCACAGGTTTCATTTGTGAGATTCCTTGGAGTTCACCGCGAAAGAAATCGGAACCCAGCGATCGACAAAAGTAAAATGGTCAGCACAGGCCGAAATTGCGTACATTTGAAGCGTTTTTTGCACCCTCTCTGCTCAACAGCACTGTCCTTGTTACCATGCTCGGCCTCATTCTCTTCCTCTCGCGACGACCTAAGTCCTTTCCAAGAAGCCCAGGATTGTGATTATTGGGTGAGTAGAACTGAAGTTTCAATCTGAAGAACATGAAAATATGCCGATTTTCGAAAATTTTCCCTGTGGCTGGTAAAGGGTTAAATTACTAAGACCACTGCCAAATCGCCAGCCTTTAAAATTACCAGTACCGGTACCCGTAGTGTGTTTCAAAACAGACTGGACACATTGCACAAGTACGTACCACTTCTCATCATGCTAACTCCACAGATTCGTGACGAGAACTGGACCCCTTCATACTCGGAGCCTGCCACAATCAGCGTGCGACACACACACACACACACACACACACACACACACACACACACACACACACACACACACACACACAGCACATACATACACAGCACACATATACACACAGCACATGCATACACACAAAATGTGGGTGCTCCGAAATGCCGCGGGACGCCATCACCCTACGATCAGGCTTCGGATACAGCTTTTAAACGGTGGGTAGATCAGATCCACAAAGAACGAAATCTCATTTGCTTCATACGTGCTTCAACAATGGTGTCCAGTGAAAGAGTTGAGAACATGTTGACGTTAGTGTTGGATGCCCCAAAGTCGCACTGGACTGCCCCTGCAATAGCTGCAAACACTTGGTAACAATAGAGAGGTTCCGCATAACGTAATTACGTTAGTAAAAAACGTAGTCGATCTACGGAAAGTCTTACGTAAACTGCATGCGCATCTGTGTTCCGCCATACGGAGTTTTCAAATCACGTAGCTGCCCTTGGCAACTCCGAACGCGGCAGTGTACGACCAGATCGATCTGGGAAGAAAGTCATAAATTTGTACCCCAATCCACTTACGGACCAGCTACGTTATCAGAGCCCTATCTACGTACTCTCCGTAGACAACTTTCCGTAAGTGGAGTGCAAACTCGCGAATTCACGGGATTTCCCCGCCCACCAACGTAAAGTTGCTCAACTTTACGTAGTGCGGAACCTCTCTATTGAGCATGTGTAAAGAGTATGTAAGTGACATCTTCATTATACACGGTGTATGGAAGTGTAACTGTCAAACCTATCCGCGTGCATGTGTGTGTGTGTGTGTGTGTGTGTGTGTGTGTGTGTGCGCGCGTGTGCGTGCGCGAGGGTTCATATACTTTCTATTTTGAAGTATACATACCTGTTAACCATGGACTGCTTCTGGCTAGATTAACTCTTGTGTAATCAATGGTGCTAGTGAAGCTTCTATCAGATCCACTCTGATTTAGCCACCCACACTAGTAGCAAATATTACCTTCACTGGGGGCCGGCAGGGGTAACTGCAGTTGGATCCCGGGACGGATACCCTGATGCCGTCAATTCTTTTTCTGCACCTTGTCCTCACCCACTTACTGAGGTGTGGTGAGCCCATAAGTGGGATCATTTTCAAGTCCACCCAGAGTTTTGGGGATTTCAAGGGGTGTCGGCCGTTGGGCGGTTCAATAGGCAAATGAGTCATCTTTCCAAGATTCCTTTTGAGTCTCTCTCCCCTCTCCCAGGGAGACCCACGTGACCAGTGTTGGCAGTGAGCAACAAGTACAAGTGTGTGTGTGTGTGTGTGTGTGTGTGTGTGTGTGTGTGTGTGCGTGCGTGCGTGCGTGCGCGTGTATGTGTGTCAACCAGTGCAGCACTACTGCAAGTTCAGTTCATCCATGTACAGTAGGTATCGGATATAGCGTGGATGTTTGAAACACGACTATCTATTCTTATTTCCGATATTTCTCACACGATAAATTAAGTGTGACATATCAGGTGCATGTGCGTAGTGACAGGATGGCCATCATACATACAACGTGTCCTTGCTATGCATGCGGGTGTTCATAGTCCCATACACTTGCCATGTGGCTATGCAACATGAGATACATGTACATGACGCAACAGTTGAACCTGCAGCACTACGATGCAATGCGAGTCGGATCAGAACTGCATTGGACGGAAGTAACTTAGTTATTACTACAGGCGATACACTTTGTACTAATCTGGTATGTTTTGCTGCACAAAATCCATGCTTAGGACCGATGTATTATACTATGTGATAACATTGCTTGTAAGAATAAAATTAATGTTCACTTGAAACCCATGTTATGATTATGAAAATATGAGAGTTCATTCGTGTAAGCAGTATATTCTTTTACACGACCACGCTATAACCGATACGCACTGTACATGTATTCGTACCGGTTGGCGTTGTGACCACCGTTGGCGATGAAGGCAACAGATTCAAGCCCTCTTCCACCGCTAGACGACTCTGGAGTGGGAAAAACACAGTGGGAGGCGCACCCACAGACATGCGTTACGAATATGACAGCATTTCCAGGTCTTTCAGGATACGAAGCGGTAGATTTACCATGGGACCCACTTAGTACGCACTCTGATGATATGATATACTCTCATTTAGTTCGGACCAGGGAGTCGTCCAATACGGTATTTTGACGACTCCCTGGTTTGGACCATGTCAAGAGAATGGGTACTTTGATCCGTACTGAAGTACAGTGCTGTCGGGCGCCGAAGAACGACCAGGCTAGTATTTCACCAAGCACAGCATACCCATGTATACACGGTGACTCAACTGTGCATAGACAGCAATACATGTACATGAAAATAAGAAGGGTCTAGGCCAGGAGGCTTACCCCCCCCCCCCCCCCCCCAGTTCTTCGGCGACCGACGGTACTGTATGTGTTGATAAGTATCTCGGATACTAAGTACAATTTCCTACTACCGTAAAGTACTGTTGATCCACCCCCCCCCCCCCCCCCCCCCCCCCCGCTCTAATTGCCGCCCCCTGTCGATGTTCTACCTGTGAAGCGACTACGGCGTATACAACGAAATACGATGTTGAACCGACGCATGCACTGCTGTACCCAATACGTGCCAGTGCAGGATGAAAATGTGCACAATCCAGCACATTGAGTCTGATCCTCCACGCTGTTGTACATCGTACTGCACTTGACAGTCCGTCCCCTACTGAAAACCCAGCTGGGAATCAACGGTACTTTACGGTACTACCCCATGGCCATATGTCTTATCAGAGCTCCACTGTGTAATTCACAGGAAGCGCGAGGTTCAAAGCCTGAAAAAAAAATGTTGAACTATCGCTACTGGGATGACGAATACACAGTTCATGAGGTGTGCATCCATGGTCCGTGAGCTGCGCATTTTTCCACCACAGAAAATATATCAAAACAGAGTACTATGCAGAAAAGAATTATGCGAGCGGAAAGCTAGAACAATTCTCCACCGTATAGACCGTTCGATAAAGAAAGAGACCAAAATGTAAATCAGTTATCGCAATCGAAAGATTCCAAACCGAACAAAAAAAAAGACCAGACATGACGGGAGCGTCTTTCCACTTTCGACGCACACCGTGTTCTCCAAGGTCATCACCTCTCCCCGTGGCGTAACCTTTGACCTTGATAAACGACATGTGAAGTAGTTCGGATTGCTTCTAGACGACAGCTGAGAGTTTGCTAATGCCGATAGACCTTTCGATGAAGGATGGTCAAGTATTAGCGAACTTACGAAAGTCTGTTGTTAAGTCGCCCGGTAAACTCTACATACCGGGTTAACGAATATTCGCTATGAGAAATACTCGTTCGAATGTGCCAAACCGAACAAATATTCGTTTCACCACTACCGAAAATTTGAAAATACAGTGCAACATAACGCAAATCTATGAGTTTCAAATAAGACTCGGATGGAGAGCCAAGGATTAAATATAAAAAGAAAGGACCAAAATGTTACATGTTATCCGTAGTTTGTGTCCAACACTAACAGTTATTATAAGCAAGATGTTGTGTATATCAGTATCACATCAGTCAGTATTGTGCTAGCTGTTGCACCTTCTGACTACACAACATCTTACATCTTGCTTATAACTGTTAATGTTGGACACAAACTATGAGTTTTCATTCATTGTTTTTCAATAATCCATCATCTTCCACAATCAAAAGGGTTTTACCCCCTCCACCACCCTCAAAATCATTTTCAGTAAAAAAAACGAGTGCCCCCTAAAATCCGCAAAATGGGGTATTAGAGAGGTTCCGCATAACGTAATTACGTTAGTAAAAAACGTAGTCGATCTACGGAAAGTCTTACGTAAACTGCATGCGCATCTGGGTTCCGCCATACGGAGTTTTCAAATCACGTAGCTGCCCTTGGCAACTCCGAACGCGGCAGTGTACGACCAGATCGACCTGGGGAGAGTCATAAATTTGTACCCTAATCCACTTACGGACCAACTACGTTATCAGAGCCCTATCTACGTACTCTCCGTAGACAACTTTCCGTAAGTGGAGTGCAAACTCGCGAATTCACGGGTTTTTCCCGCCCACTAACGTAAAGTTGCTCAACTTTACGTAGTGCGGAACCTCTCTATTATCTAGTGGTGTGCACGAGTAGTCGGGTACCCATGCTACCCGTGAGGACCTCGGGTAGACGGGTACAAAATAGTACCGGAAAACCCGAAGTCGCAGATGACATCATGTATAGTGCACTTGTGCAAATTCATGTAAAACTCCGCATGTCTACCTGGTGTGTAAGGGAAGGGGTGCACTGTGGTGTTACCATGGACACATTACCCGATCGGGTACCAGTGCTACCCGTGGAAAACTACCCAAACCCGATACCCGAAGAAAATCCTACCCGACTCAGCCCTAGTATTATCAATAAAACCCCATTTTCTGGGGCAGGGCATGTACCTGTTCCAGAACCGGCTTTATAGATACTACTACCATGCTTAGTGGCAAACCATCGCCGGCCATAAGCGAGGGTCCTTGGCTCGAGTCCTAGCGATGGCAGTCAATTACGTGACGGGGAAACTCTGCCATTACAGCACTGAAAGGACAGTGTGCAGGCAGTTGCAGACTTTTCGTGGTACTGTAAGACATGTATATATAACGAGGAAGCAAATCTAACGTTTTAACGGATGACATTTCTTCGTTATAATAAGATCCGTCGAGGCCGTACTGCTTCATATATGCTGTGTGTGGATATGGCAGAATACTGCAAGATCGTTAACATATCTTCTCGTTAACCTATGAATTTTGGACAATCGTTAAATTTGCGACTCGTTATAATAACATGTCTTACAGTAAGCACATTTGCCGACCCTTCATATACAGTCAGCTGCGTGAATAAGAGCCTCGCTTATAACAGCTGGTGAATAACGACTGTCTTCAGACCAAGTAACCATTCAACTGTTTACTTGAAACTTCTGGAAAAACGACAAGTTGCGATTAAAAGCGATAAACTTTCGCGGCACGCAAATTTTGCGTTTTCATGAATTGGGCTGGTTCACGATGAGAAACCTTTGCGATTGTTTCTCTTCAGTTGGACCTTATACTGTCTACGGTCATGCACAGAGCAGTTTGCGGCGATATATATTTGCGAATGTGTTTCTCACAGTAACAACATTTTTCTCACAGTAACAATACTTTTCTCATGCCTGGCAGACGTTTTTTTTTATTCTCAAGGTTGACTTTACATTTGATAGCACTAGAGAGGTTCCGGAGTACGATTTTTCGTCCCTAAATCCGTAGAGGCTCTACGGATTTTTTATACGTCGTATTCGAGCAGTGAAATGTTCCGGAGTACGGAACTTATGTGTTTGCCATCATTGCCTAGGTTACGATCGCAAACACGTCACATTCCTGCTCTATGCTTTTTATTTTGAAAATTTGTACCGAAATCAAAAACTTCCCGCGGAAAATCGATGTTTCTCGTGCCAAATTTGGATGCGAAACATCTTTCTGCACCCGATGACGCAAAATCTCCATACGAAACATGGTTCGTGTGAAAGCCAGTCCACACGGATTCTCCGTGCCGAAAAATCGTACGGAGCACGCCTGGAAAAAATCCGTAGCGCCCATGCGGATTTTGGTACGGAAAATCGTACCCCGGAACCTCTCTACTACAATGCTTACGAAACGGAAATAAGGAGGTATGCTGGAAATGACAGTCTCCCATTGCAACATGCACACGGAAATAAGGAGGTATGCTCGAAATGACAGTCTCCCATTGCAACATGCACACTCTGCAGTCGGAATCTGCCTAGATTGACAGGCCATGGACTATTGGGCCGCAGAGTCCAGGAGAAGTCATGAGCCTCACCAGTCGATCAGCGCAGAAAATGAAATCTTCGCGTCGAGTAGACCTGTCAAGCACACATTGCAGCAGCACACATTGCAGCAAGCAAGACGTTTCGCCCGGCGCAGAATTGACAACGGAAGTGAGGGCAGAGAGCTTTGTCACGAAAGGAATGAGGGTACACCTTACTTAACTTTCCTAGAATTTTACCATTTGGGGAAAGCACTCATGACATGTATACAGCTACTATTGAGGTTCTGTTCTATGGGACGGGGATACAATGTGAAAACTTGAGTACTCGCGCTTTTGGGCTTCACACATCACAGAACTTCAGAAGTGCTCTGCTCCGTGTTCAGCCATTCATTCAGTGTCCTAGAGTGTATGCTGAGAATTCCCCATTCCCAACGTGACAGCTTTCAGGTCTGTGGTAGGGATATCAGCGAACGCACTGCGCAGCCCATCTGCGCAGGTCAGCCTGGCCCATCTACGCGCGGCCGACAAAAATACTCGTGAACCCTTTCATTTTTTTGCAAAATAAATCGTGCGAAGAAGATGCACGGAATGGCTGAAAACTAGGCTGAGGAAAAGTAGCATCCAGAGACTCTCAAACAAATTCAGGGCCCATCGCTTCTGACAATGGCAGCGAAGACATCAGGGAGCTGATTGCAGCAACTCTCTACCAAGCGCGACGCTGGTTACTCACCAGGGCAGGGCGCTTCCATCACGCAAGAAATGGCCGCGAGCGAGAAATGCAAGTCCGATTTTGGAACGATCCAACCAGGGTAATCCCTTGAAAATTGGCCTGAACACCTCTCATACTGGTGTTTCACGATGTGCAAACTTTCAGAGAAATCGACCGGGGAGAACGTGGTGAGCTCGTGGGTCCTCCTGTATCGCGTATGATTTGAATGGTCGCGGGGACAGAAGAACAGTAATTTTACGACTCCCAGCGGTGCAAACAGACCGCGGCCATGTTTTCTCTGTCGGCCGCGATCACGTTCAAAAAATCGATGACGCAATGCATGCGCAGAGGCCTGCGCAGTGCGTTCGCTGACATCCCTATCTGTGGTGCCAAGTTTGGTTGGTAACTTGGTATCCCCCAGATTTGTATGCGTTTTCTCTATGCATGCCGCAACGCAAAAATTCTCATCTCTGCATTGAAAACTGGACCCAAAACATGCTATGACATAGACACTAATCCATATGCATGCTCTTTGCGCTTTATTTCTCTGCAACTCAATTGAAGCAAAATATCGTTTTTTGCTGAATTGATTATGCTCCGTCGACTTACTTTTGACACTTTCCCCAGCAGATTGCTACCCGCTTACGTATTAAATGGTGGTTTAGCGTGTGCGCTAAGCCCTGTTAACGAACGTGGAACATCTACCACTCATACTTAGTCTGATGATCATGCATCTGATTATGATGTCATTGCTATACATGCGCATGCGCAGCGCGCGCCACTCTCCCACGCGTGCATTCCAAATCTTGCTTTAGAGAGAGAAGGAGAAAAGAGAGACTCCTTTGTCACTTTTGCTTTCCGACGACTTGACTGTTCACTGGTTTGTCCGTCAGTTGTCAATTTCCCCTTCCCTCCCAACCCCATTCGACTGGGGATCACTATCTCTCCGTCACTGTCACCATAGTTTCCTCAATAACAGTGTCAGTACAACTCTTGTCAATATACTTATATCGGGTGAGGGCAGTCTATCTCCGCAGCTGGCTCATTTCAATCACTACCGGTCGCAGCTCCTGCCCACGGCAGGCCGACCGTCTCTCGTTCACACTCTGTGTGCTCCAGGTCACAGCTCCTGCGCAGAGCAGGCCGACCTGTCTTTCTCATGCACGCCAGCTGCTCCGCCCAATATCCCTGATATGCCAACCAGAAAACAATGTGTTCTGAGCCGGGTGCATGCCTGTATGTGGAGAGTGCGTTAACACGTAGAAAGAGGACACGCGTCACGTTCTTCAACAGAAACATATAGTCCGGGATCCTCAATTTTTTTTTGAATTTTCGCTGCCACTTTGATCCGAGTACTGTAGAACGGGTAATTTTAGCGACTATCAATTTTAGCGTTTTCCCATTGTCAACCGGTTTATAGCGACGTTTTATTTTAGCGATTTGCAGCGATTTTACTCACGGATCACCAGTGCACTACTAATGTCTCAACGGATTAGCGACTTGAAACTTTAGCGAAAATGAGTAGATCGCTAAATTCGCTAGGGTTTTTACGTCGCTAAAATTACCCGTTCTACAGTACTTGAGAGTTGGATAGGAGTAAAGGTAGGTACTTGGGAAGCTCAAATTCGGTTGTTGGACGAGACGAAACGGGGAAGGAGAGGTTGCGCGAGCAGCTTTCCGACTGGTATGCTCAATATTTGTCATACCGCATTCCTGCTTTGAGCAGATATGACGCACGCACAAACGGTGACTTTCCGAAAGTTCAAAATAATTAATTCAAAAAATTTGAAAGATGACGACGCCGACGACGACGAAGTGGAAACTAACTAACAAATTAACTACTTGTTTCCTTTCTTCTTTCCACCACAATGGAGGAAGAAAACGATGAAGTATTTCTCGGTAACAGTAGTAGTAGTAGTCCATGCATTGTGGTTCACTCTATTGACAAGGTAGTCGGCGTATCTTGGGAAAGCTGTCTTTGCCATTGCGTGAAAGTCAGCAGCAGTGAAAAATGTGAGAAAGTTTTCTTCACGACAACGAGCTGGCCTCGTCTTGTCACAGCAGCGCGGATCCGTAAGGACTCTGCCTTGCTGGATTTTCTGCGTAAACATGAGTGCGAGGATGTAGCAGCATCGCCTCGTGGCTGGTACCACAGGCGGTGTTATTCTCAATACACGCACACGGAACTGCTGCATCGTCTGAGCGGCCCAGAGCCGGAAATCAATTCGGACTCCAGCAGTGATGGTGAGCAGCCTGAGCAAAAGAGAGCAAGAGTGGCCACCAGAAGCTCTCTGCCAGTATTTAATCCGGCCCTCTGTATAGTATGCAACGAAAAAAACAAAACAAAATCGTAAAGCCGAGCCCCTGACTATCTGCACTGAATTTCGTGCTGGAGAGCGCCTTCTTGAAGCAGCGAGTGCACGAGAGGACGAGGCAGCCACAAGAATCCTCCTGAATCTGCAGGATGGCGCACCGGATTGTGTTGCTGCGGAGATAGCGTGCCATTTTAGCTGCTACCGCAATTACACCCATTCCAGAACTGTCGCCGCAATAGCCAGCAAGGGATCGCAAACGGATGGTCCACGGACGCCGTACGATGCGGCATTTGTGTGGCTCGCGGAGTTTGTGGACAAGGAGCTTTTCAGTGAAGGGGTTGCCATCAAAGCTCTGGCCATGGATAATCTTACTGCTATGTATGTGCAGAAGCTGGGGGAGATCGGCACCACTTCGCAGTACCGGCGCTGGCTGCTGAAGAAGCGCCTCGTCGCTCATTTCGGTGACCGGATCTCGTTTGTTCGCGCGAGTGTGCTTGAGCCCGAGTCAGCGGTGCGAGCAAGCTTGCCTAAAGTGTAGCTGAACCACCTCCTCGGTGCTGCAGTCTCGCAGGCTGCATCGTCTGTGAACCGTGGCAGTGGTGAAACAAGCAATGACAGTGATGACAGTAGCAATGCAGTTCCTGCGGCAGACGCAAGTCTCCACCTATTCCGCGCTGCCAGGCTGGTGCATGATGCAATCAAGAGCCAGCAGCCAACACTCCCAACTGTGCCACATGCCCAAGACCTGCGCAAGGACAACTGCCCTATTCCAGCCATCCTGTTCAACTTGGTTACGATGATGGTGGTCGGGCTTGAGAAGTATGACGTCACCGACATCCACTCATCCCGCGCCACTGTCTCACCAGATGTCAACAGGAAAGTGCTGTCAATTGCGCAGGATATTGTGTACGCAAACACACGTGGCGCACCACTGACACCCAAGCATGTTTCCCTGGCACTGTCTGTGCACCATCAAACACGGAGTAAGCAGACAGTCGACTTGTTGAACAAGTTTGGCCATGGGATATCTTACTCGCGGGTCAGAGAGACCGAAACACCATATGCAGCTGAGGTTGCCCATGGTCCTGATGCAAGAGCAGTTGTCCCTCGCAACATTGTGGCCGGTAGTGGGCTTGTTCCCTTTTGCTGGGACAACAATGACCTGAATGAAGAGACGCTGGATGGCAAAGGGACAACGCACTGCACCAATGGCATCATTTTGCAGCTGCCCGGCGATGCAACAGTGTCAGAACCACCAGTTGTTCCACCAGAGTCGTGCGACCAGTCCACCCCACTTCGAAAGGGTCAACGGCGACCCAGGAGTATTATGTCACCGTCTGCTACGCTTCCAGACTTCAACATTGGTGCCAGACCAAGGCCTCCAGCTACAGCCACAGCTGTTGAATGAAGGATGCAGTCTCTCCACCTGATTGCACCAATGGATCTGCTTTGGTTTATGCTTCGTGCTGACCAAGCATTGTCGGTGTATGGAAGGCCAGAGGATGAGAAACAAGGAGTTCCGGGGTGGTCGGGATTCAATACTGCTGTACACGAGTCACAAGCACCGAAAGTGCCAACGGCAGTTGGGTACCTTCCCATCATTCCAGCCTCGCCCACCGACATGGCCACTGTTTACGAGCTGATCGTGCGTTCACAGCAGCTTGCAAGCAAGCTAGGTCAAGATCACTGTATCATTACAGTCGACCAAGCTGTGTACGCAAAAGCTGTTGAGGTCTGTTGGAAGACTCCTCAATTCAAGAATGTTGTTCTTAGAATGGGTGCATTTCATACCGCATATGCCTTCCTCGCTGTCCTCGGAAAGAGATTCGCAAGTGCTGGACTAGAAGACCTGCTGGTCGAGTCTGGCGTAGTTGGTGCAAGTGCCTGCAAGCAAGTCATGGCTGGCAAACACTACAACCGCGCCGTGCGCCTGCACAAGCTTGTCTTTGAGTGTCTCCTTGGAATTAACCGGATGCTGCATGAGGACAGCGACCAAGCATTCCCGGTCAGCAGTGGTCTAGAAGCCAGCCTCTGCAAAATGAGAGCCAGCAATAACTACTGGATACAAGTACTGACTTCGTGTACTCCATGATCCAAGGAAACCTAGCTTCCTCCACTTTGTCTTTACATGCGAAAAGTAGAGCATGAACACCATGAACACTGTTCGAAGGAGCACTACAACACGTGTACTTTTTCAAATTTTTCAAATAGTGCGCTTTTGAGCATGCTCAACGGTACGTCCGGTCAAAGCAAACTCGAGTGTGTGAGCATCTTGGGACGATGTTTCCCGACGACGAATCGGGCTTCCTACTACTTCCCTTCCCCGATCCAGGACGTCCAACAAGGCTTTTCTACAGCTTTGATATCTAGGGAATCGATCTATGTAATTCGCAGGCACTCGGGTTTTGGTGGCAGCAAACCTTGTGATTTTGAGTACTCGGATCCCGGACTAATATAGAAAGCTATCCATGAGTATACCTGTCCCTCCAGGAAATCGCGATTCCACGGATGCAACAAATTTCGCGATTTTGGCCCAAACCCGCGATTTTCTACAAAATCGGCGATTTCCCGCGTTTTTGTTGTTTTCTGAACTTTTTTCTACATTTGTCTGCACTTTTCACGCTGTGTTTTCCACGATCATGTAGGTTATTTGCACAGCACTACTCCCGAGTAGATTTACTGCGCAAATAGCAATTCTAAGGATGCAACAAATTTCGCGATTTGGCCCAAATCCGCAATTTCCTGCAAATAATTCCGGGGATTCCTGGCAAGTTCCGCACTTTTCGCCGCATTTTTTGTTGTTTTCTGCCGCAATTTCTTGCGCATGTTTTTGAGAATTTTTCCGCAAATTCCTGCAGGCTGTCCCCCGTGAATCCCGCGGCAGAATATCAGAAATTCCGTGCAGAATTCTGCGCTACTTCTGCAAATCCTTCTTTATTCTGCGTCAATTCTGCAAGGATAATGAGCATAAAAACAGATCGAATTTCTGCAGCCCCACGGAAGTTTGTTGCCCTTATAAATTCTGACCAAAAATTATGCGAAATCCTGGTCCAAAAAATTAAAAGCTCTAGAATACACTGCAAGTTGATTTTGAAAGTCACAGGCAGGTTGGTTTGGCTGTGAAAATACATTGAAAGTCTCCAGAAAAAGCAGTTTTTTCTCTCTTTTCTGCAATATTCCGCTAGATTTTCTGAATTCTGCGGACATTACTGGATTCTGCGGAAATTCTGCAATCCACGGAATCGCGGAATTCACGGGGGACAGCAGTGCAGGGACAGGTATACTGTCAAGCCTTCTCTTCAGGTGAAATACAGACATGAGCATTCTCTCTTCGTATATCATCAGTATGGATCACACATTTTATCGTTGTTGTTTTTAGTTATTCTTCTTTGCCCTGTTCTATCACCTCTCTACTGTACTTAGTTCAATTTCCTTGTTCCTTTGCTCTCGCATGTATTCCACCTGCAGAGATGGCTTGACAGTATACTCCTGAGTCCTGTATAACTTTAAAAATGTTCCTGTTGAAGAACATTACTAAGTGTGTTCTCCTTCTAAGAGTGATAGAGTTTTGTCTCCGAGGAAACTCTTTACGTGCTTGCTTACGCATGTAATCAGGAATGTGAACATGCATACGTTTACATCGTGAACATCATTTGTCCTATTCATAATCCGGTTGCTATTGCAAGACTCCGCATTTTCAGCGAGGAAAACGGAATGAACACAATAAAACACTTACGAATTTCTCAAACTCGTCTGCAGGGCCTTCACCTGATTATTCGTAGGCAGGACTCTTACATTGGAGCTGATTGGTGATCCGCTCATCTTCTCTTCAAGGCTAGTTTCAGACCAAACTCAATGATGATTCATTCACAAATGCGTGCATATCGCATGTACAATGAATGATTATGTAATATTTAAATAATAATTATTATTGTATGTCCTGTACGAGTACCAAGCCTTGGTAGTGCATTGGTACATTCATTGTACATGCGATATGCACGCCAAGGCCATGCCGGCGCGCGGCGCATGGGTTTGAGATTCTTATTTTTTTCATTAATTTTTGTTTTGTTTGAGTTTTGGACAGCTACACGTACGTGCGCACGTGCACCACACAAAAAGTACAAGAAACACAGCTAGCATGCACCGCGCGTACCGCTCTCAGTGACCGTAGACCTACTCGTAGAGTAGATCAGTAGAGTCCAGGGAGTCATACTCCCTGGTCTATGATTCAGAGTATGACTCCCTGCTGGTCTACAGTACAGGCAAAACCTGGCCGATATCCTATTCTTGTTATGGCTTGCTTTTTGGACAAAATAGACTTCACTTCAGAAACATGGAAGAGGATTCCATAGGGGATTGCAGAAAAAATTCTAAAAAAACTCAAAGTTTGACCCATTTATGGCCAAAAGCTAGAAGTCCATCTTTTTCTGAATGGACTGTATACTACTAGTATGCTGGACTGACTACTCGAGTACGAGTACGAGTGTTTCATTTTCAACTGTTTGTGTGTGTACAGATCCAGTTTGGGTACCTACGAAGTACGAGTCGTAGATCTACTCCACTCGTACTCGTAGAGTCCTTCCTTGCTTCAATGCTTGTTTTCCCATGGCCATGCATGCATCATGAGATACACACGCACTTTACAGTTTGTGGGATGAACCGAAATTGCAAATTCAACTTCCTTGGCTGGCAGAGTACTGTAGTGTAGATCAAGTGCAAATTGGAAAGTTAGTTTGATGGAAAGCATACCCCAACTGCGCTCCAGGTCCCAGACCCTGCCATTCTAGGGTGAGCTTGCACCATGACCGAAGGACATGAGCATTGTACTGTATGCTACGATTGCGATTGTGCTCATGCGGAAAGTAGCTGCGCTGTGATATTCTGTCGCAATCAGTGCGGCTCCAGGTTTCATGCTTGCAAAGAAGAGGAGCATCTAGCATTGTGTCCCAGGGAGGTGATCGCCTGCCTGAACGTGCAGCATGGTTGTCCGTATAAATTTGAGCGGTATCGGCAAGGTCCTCACCTGCTGCACTGTCCGGCAAGCGTCGTCTGCTGTAGTCATACCTGGTATCGTCGGAACAAGGCGGAAATTGAGGATGGAAACCCTTGTCCCGATCCTCTTCTCCCCGGTAATCACCTCGACTTTGCGCTGGCGCTGTGCGACCAGGACAGAGTGGGAGGTGCAGAGAATTTGCGGGAATGTGTGGTGCCAGCAAGACCGCGGTTACGACTTTGCCCTGGCATAAGCTTGTCGCCGCGTCAGGAAGCGCCAGCAACACTGAAGACAGCACTGTTTGCCCCCTGTTCAACGATGCAGAAGAGTACAGAGGAGACTGCAGACTCCTCAGAGCGCTTTGGTTGCACCACGCCCGATGGTCTCGTGGACAGCAGGAGGGACAGTTTGAAATCCGAGGAGCGTATGCTGGATGCTCGTCTACCTCAGGTACATCACATGCCGCCCTCCGGTTCGAATACCCCGGATAGAAGCATCGTTAGGTCTCACTCAAGAGAACTTGACACCGTCACTAGCGGTGATGATACTGATGGCAATGACGGCAGCCAACGCGAGCAAAGTAATTCACCAGAGTCACCCTTGCCGGATGCAGAGCCATCGACACATGAAGCTGAGGAGGGGACGGTGAACTTTCGGTCGGAGGAGACGGCGCAAAGGTCTCCAGAAACGGAAGCACAGTCGGGGGATGACTTCCGGAATAGGTCTGACTCGAGAAAAAGCAACCGGGCTCTTCGGGCCCCCGCCACGTTTCTCCGCGGCAAAAAGCTTGCCTGGAAACGGCGCAATGAAGCGCAGGAATCGCCAAGGGTCCGAACGCCACATCCCGATGTTGACTCCAGCATGTCGACTAAGCTGAGAGGACACATCAAGCATGGCAAGCACATGTTGTCCAAGGCGCTAGCTGAGGCAATCCACAACCACAACAATAAGGGTGTGAAGAGCAGTGCATCGGTAAAGCATCTTGCAATGGATCGGGCACGCTTAAACTACTCAGACAGCACGGACACAGATGTAGACGTTGTTTTGGTCGGCGGCAAGGGGAACTCTCCTGCCAGGAGTTCACATGACAATACTATGCTGACACCATTGCCCATCACACCTCATTCTAGTGATACCTACTACTTTAACCGCGATGACGATATTCTCAAGGGTCGCTGGCAACATACTGAGAAGCTGAGCGCGCCAACGTGCTTACCGGCAGAGAGCAATGTGCGAATGCTCCAATCAGGCCGAGTTGCTTCGCTCCTGTTCGAACTGTCTTTGTTCTTTTCTCCGCGACATGTCCTGCCTTGTGATGGTCTTGTGCAGTGCCAATGCTTGAAGTTCTTTCGGCGCGATGAGATTGCCAGCCACCAAGAATTCGCCCATGCAGGCATCGACTCGTTGCTCGCGGCCAATCTCTTCTACGAGCGCTGCCCAATGGCCAGTTTTGGCTGTACGTATGCCAGGCCTGCTCTGAGGATGCCGTGTGACAGGTGGACGCTGCATGTCGTGAAGCGCTCCCTGGCGATACGGCCGAATGCGCCCATCGAACTGCTGGCCCTCAACAATGGCTCGCTCTCGGAGTCGTCGCCACACCTGACAACGCTGCCCTCTTCCACACTGCAGCGCATCTGCACATTCCTGGACCCGCTCTCACTGATGTGCTTCGCAGAGACTTGCACGCACTTACGCCAAGTTGTCAGCAGCGTAGTCCAGCAGCGCGGAATGGTCACGCCGGTCTGGGAGAGAGCGGAAGATGATGACGGTGAAGTGTCGTGGTCCATTTCAAGACTTGTAAGGAACCGCTGTGCACGCTAATGTTGCCGGAGATTTTGTGTTGTCCCTGAAGTTTATTCCTGAAGTTGAATCTGCTATGGTGAAAGTTGGGATAACAATACACAGGCAGTGTTAGTAGTTGATACTCACTATGAAAGGACTTAAAAGTTAGAGCAAAATTTCGTAGACATTTTGTGCAGAACTTTGCTCAAAGTTTTCATTCCATGGGAAGTGAGAGGATAGGTTATTTCAGTGGCTGCCATTCCATTGGTGCGGTGTGCGTGAGCTTCCAGTCCAGCTAATGAGCTCGTGCGTGTGTGTGTGTGTGTTTGCAACGCACCGTGCATGCACTTGTGTTTCCTCAGCGCTGGACATTGTCAACGTTCGTAGCACCCGTCTCTCTTTGTAGCTGGGTGTCAACAGAGTTGAGGCCCACCAAGGATCACCTGCACTCATGCCCGCTCTTTCTGTCTGATTGTCGCCGCTACGAGAACCAGTGGCACGCACTCCCAGGCCTCACCAATGTCGAGTGTGTGGAGGTAGGTGGAATCCCCTATATGAATGGTATTTTTATATTTACTTAGGCTGCGTTTACACAACAACGATTGAAAACGATTTGCGTTTACACGACAACAAAGTACGACCTAAACGGAACAAAATCGTTGCGTTTACTACTATCGTTTACACGACGACGCCCGAAAATGATACCTAAACGGAACGAAATGGAAACGCACTTCAAAGTGTTTCAAAACGTTTTCAAAACGTTTTCGTTCTCGTGTAAACGGTGAAAACAATTGGAAACGGAGTGCGGTCATGGGAACCATTCCGCGCGGACTATATTTCGCGGGAAATATCCAACCCTTTCGCCCCGCCAGCCCGTACCAACTCCAACTTACGACTAGTAACGTGCTACTTCCCGCCCTTGCGCCAAGCCAGCACGTGCTACCTCCAGCCCGTTTTCCGTTTTCGTGTAAACGGTTCAAAACTATTTGCCGTTCTCGTGTAAACGGTTCAGAACGATTTGCCGTTCTCATTTAAACGGTTTGAAAACGATTCGAGGCCAGCCCGTTTTCGTTCCGTTCCATTTCGTTTCGTCTCCGTGTAGACGCAGCCTTAGGTCACATGACGCACGAGCGTACAGCTGCCGTGTTCAGTGCTCTCCCTGCAGAATTCCAAGTTGACGTCGTCTGCTATGATGCGATGCTCGGTGTGCATGTGATTTCCAGCGTTTCTACAAAGGTATCAAGATCTCTCCTCTCGAGCATCTGTGCAGGACTAGTTCGCTGGACACAGGCAGCTGAAAACATGCATACATGTGCATCGAACATTGCATCAAATAGAATGAGCTACACACTTTTCGAAATCATCTACTTCAGACAGTGTGCAGGTTACATCCAATATGAGAATTATGTAATAAATCCAGTACCGTAGTGTCGCGTATATAAGCATGACCTGTATAGAAGCATGGCTCAAATAGAAGGCGATTTTTCGAAGTGCTCCGTGACACAGAAGCACGATTTGAATAGAAGCCTAGCCGCTCTGTGCAAAGACTCGTGCACGTACTTGCACAGTACGTACGTGGCAGTATGCCCTGCACAGTGTACACTGCTGCTGTTGACGTAGAAGCGTGTTTTGAATAGAGGCATAACTTGAATAGAAGCATGGTTTGAACCCTGGCTTATATGGCCGTAAGCACCTGCTTTTATACGCGACATTAGGGTAGTACGTATTTTCGAATAACTAAATCCATGACCACCTCATTCCTGACCACCTCATTCCTGACGATGGTTACGAAGGATTTTGTGTGAAATGCAGTGCGTACTTGAGTGTAGGCGAGTTTCCTGCAAATGATTCAAATTCGTATTTTATCCATACATGGGAAATTTGCACCACGTTCCTTTCCATAATATAGAAATTCAGGGTTAGAAGTACTCTATGCTAGACACCCTTAGCAAAGACTCCTTGTTCTTGACCTGCCCGGTACGCGAACCCTTCGAATTTTTTTAGCAAACAATGGTAACGCTTTTTATGGTACTCATACCTTGACTACCCATATAGCGTTGAAGATGCAGCGTAGAACAGTTATGGGGGGCGGGGCTGATCTATCGATGCGACCGTAGCAGCAGTGACTTTTTTAGAGTTTTTTTGCCAAATATTGCGCATGTACCCGTTTTCACCAGTGCATATCATGCCATTAATGCCGTTAAATGGTTGTTCCGCACGAAATGTGGTGCTTGGCCGTAGACTTGGCCATGTGTCCACAAACCAGAGACTATTCTCATGGCAACAGCGTGCTAAAATAGCTTGCACCTTGCTAAAGTTCGAACACCAATCTCCGTTCCTTTTCCATTACAGCAATACCGTTACAAAAATTTTGTATGACGTTTTTCTGCAAAGGGTGCCTACTGTCGACCCTTTGTATATGGACGGTCCGTGGCGCTGCCCTAGAGGAACCGAGATTTTGTGGAGAACAGTTTGTGGACACGGCACCGTGAATTGCCAGTGTCACTTGGCTTAGGGTCAGCACCGGCGCTTGCCGTTTCGGCTGAAGCTAAGGAAGAACACCTACAAGGGCCTTTCTGACTCCATGCCAGTGCTCGACATGAAGTTCATGCCGATCCGCGTGTTTGTTCCACACTTCCGTATCTGTTTCGGTGCAAAGTACACACTCGGCATGGTCTCCACTGATTTAAATGTTTATGGGATCTTAGGGCAGCGCTGCGAACTGTCCCTTAAGGCCGATTCAAAATGCAATTTTTTTGCGACGCGACTTGCGACACTAGGACAGCGACACACGGTTCACAATCTTTTCCGTGTTTGCGACATCCATTATGCACTAGTAGTACCATGCACATGCACCCAGGGTAGAAACTGTCCTCCGTTTGTGTATGTTGCGTGTCGCATGTCGCAACAGTTGAACTTTCTTTAACTTCTGCAACAGGTGCCTTGCGACTGTATGCGACATATCACACAGCTCGCGATAGGCAATTTCTTGTCGCAACTATCGCATATCGCGTGTTAGGTTCTGCCGTACTTCTCCGCACAAAATCGCATGTGCTTATAAGGGGAAAGTCGCTGTTTTGGGCAGAATCAAGACGCCATTTGGCTGGCGTAAAAGCACGCGCGTATAGTATGCATGTACACCAGACCATAATGTGCACGTGGCCCTTTATGGATGCAGAAGCAAGTCTTCGTGCTCCGTTATGCGTTCTGGTACAGTCGACACGGGCGTTCCCTGCCCTGCCAGGCTTGGGTAAAGGCCCTTTATGGATGCAGAAGCAAGTCTTCGTGCTCCGTTATGCGTTCTGGTACAGTCGACACGGGCGTTCCCTGCCCTGCCAGGCTTGGGTAAAAAGTGCTTCTGGCATCAATTGTGCATGCATGTACATGTATCGATGTCAGGTGAGATGAATTAGGTACCGTAGTGAACTGCCTGGTGCTGGCTGAAACTGAGTGATTGTTCCTGACGGAACTGTGTGACTTGCTAAAATCAATGTAGTGATTGTACAGTTGCCATATGGATGCATCGCCTTTGCATGCCAGGATTTATTACTATTATTAGGCGAGACCAAAAAAATAGAGATTCCCGGGCCCTGCCGCACCAAAATCGAGCCAAAGCCATTTTTTTTAGCACATACATGTAGATCGGCCCTGCTTCGAGGGCGACAAGGATCAGCAGCGCAGGAACAAAACACGCATCATTTGTCTTGTCCATATTGTCTTCTTACTTCTTAGATGCTACGACGCATTGCTGGATGCAAACATCATTCTACAGTCGTCCCTCTCTAATCCGGCACCTTTTGCAACGGCATTTTCTGCTGGATAAACAAGGGTGCTGGATTATCAAATCCTGCCCTCCAACTTGGCCCACCTGTTAACATACATGTTTGTGTTGTACGTCAAAACGTAGGGATTTTCTGTCTCAATCCAAGTACGCTGTGGAATGCATGTCTATAACATCATCATCATCATCATAAGCCCATAGCCCAAAGGCCGTCGGGGCGTCACAGAGCAAGTATGAACAAGCGAGCGCCATAAAAATCTATCCGGTGATCAGTGAACGGAATCCTGAGAAGACGTCGATAGCTCCTCATTTCGAAAGCCTCGATCTTTTTCACAATTTCAGCAGTTAAGGTCCAAGACTGGCAAGCATAAAGGAATATGGATAAAACAATAGCATTGAGTACAGAGGCAATATGCTTTGGTTCTGCAAGAGTGCTCAATGCCTGATTCAGGCAGAGCGACGCACACAAAGGCACACAATGAAAACCTTGGCAAATTAAGTCCGTTGTGACTCAGAGTTTCATGGCTGAACCAATCATCAGACAACGATAATGGAATAGGAGGCGGCGCTGGTATATCTAAGTGGAGAGAGGTGTGATAATACGATAGCGAGAGGAGTAATCGCGTGAATGTATACAGGGACAGGCTATTTCAGAGGCAGATGCAGTAGGCGCAGGTCTAGCACTAACAAGTACGCGCTTAATCTCGCTCACACACCACACACACACATAGTAACACCCACACACATACACACATACACGCACACACTAACACACACATACACCCACCCACAACACCCTAACTTGCACACGGGCGCACGCACACACAGACATTGAGCATTGAGTAGACGTAATTTCGAGCCGATACTGATATTTCTATCCCTCCAGATTGTTACTAGTCGTGCAACAGCAGCCGAGGCTGCTGCGATCCGACTCCTCACTTCTTTGATTGAACGCTGATCATCAGTAATCGTGCTACCCAGATATTTAAACTCGCCAACCTGCTAGAGCTGCTTCCCGTCGATGGCTATGCTTGCGGACAGACCCCCGCTTGCTCCCATTACCAGTAGCTTACTCTTCTCAGTGCTGATTTCCATGCCGTATGATTTTGATGTGCTGGCCAGCCGGCCAGTAAGGTCTTGCAGTTCTTCCTCGCTGCCAGCCACCAGATCAATGTCATCTGCAAATCGCAGGTCTGTTACAATGCGTCCACCAATGCTAATGGAACTCGCGAATCCCTCTAATGACCTACAACTTAGTACAAGTAGATACCAGTTCTTCCAAGAAAATGTTGAATCTATAACATACACTTGGGAATAATATCCTATGCACTGGCTAGGATATTCCCAAGTGTATGTTACATGTGTTGTGTATGTTTACAATGCTCCCTGATAGCGATGTGCAACTGCTGGATTAGAGAATCGAATTATGTACAGTTTGAGTGATTTGTCGCAGAAAATGGCTGCTGGAGGCGGAATTCAAGTGCCGGATTAAAGCGTAGAAAATGAACTGAAAAAATCCGTTTTGCGAGAAAGTGTGCTGGTTTGCAAGGGTGCTGGATAAATAAGTGCCGGATTAGAGAGGACGACTGTACCATGTGTGAGCCTGAATGAGTATGTGGTTTCACTGCCTTTGCATGTATGTTCAGGTCACCAATGACAGTGAAGCAGACACAGGATCTGACTCTGATGACGGACCCGAAGAGGCAGAAGGCAGTAGGGTAAGCTCTGTTGATTTCTTGTCCATGGAAGTCATCAACTGCAACACTTTGAGTTGCCTGTGCGGACTGCGACATCCATACACCAATGTACACGTGATACAGAGTGACACCACACGTACTTGCCATATTTTCGGGAATTAGCACCTGTCTGAAATAAGCGCCACATCTTTTCAGGGCTTTTGTGTGGATTTGTTTCGAATTGGTTGAACATTTGAGGGCTCCCAAACTACTACTAGTGAGCGCCTCGGCCAGTATTGCCGAAAATATGGTACACACAAATACACAACACCGAGAGGCAGACTCAGTATCTCCTGGTGGCTCCAAGAAAGGAAAACCCCACCTCAAAAAAAAAAGAGTTTCTGATTGTGCCCTATGTGGGAGCTCCTGCCAACTTGACTGATAACTTCATGTGTCTCAATGTGCACTGTGTCCTTGTTTTGCCATGTACAGTCCAATGGCAATTTGACCGTGACTGGCTTCGCGCCGCAATCAACACATCACTCGTCGTTCCGCAAGACCTCCCGAAGCAGGCGGACGTCGACAAGCTATGCAGCCGAGCAGCTCACCGTCCAGCTGGACAACTGTGATGTGATCAGCGACGGGGAGCATGACGAACTGGACTCTAGCGACCCGTAGCAGTGCAAGCCTGCAGTGAGTGATGCAAAGTCCACGACTGAGTGTGACAGCCTAGTAGCAATACCTAGTTAGAATAGGTAGTGCTATTGACTGAGTATTTACGTATACCTGGCGCTGAGCAGAAATTTAGGTTGCTGCACCATCTAGCTTTGTTGTGTATGCACTCCTAACTCAGTAATAGCTTTTGAAACTCTGCTGTCCTAATGAATATCAACCAGTAAGCTTGGCTACCCTGCAGTCATATATTTATCACCTTGCATGTGGCATGCTCAGCAGCGTTGATTCTCCGCACCCATGTGATGTGGGTGTTGCACACGTGTGCGTGTGCATGCACGCGAGCGCGCATCATGATGTTATCCAGCTCGGCATTGACTCGATGTTAGTTCAGCTGGAAACATTCCGCTTTCTGCCCGTGTTGTTATCTGTGATCGGCTTTCGTCCCGCACAGCCCCTTTGCGTAGTCTTGTGAACTTTCTCTTTGAACAATGATTATAGGTCCTTTCCTTCTCTACCCACCCTCATACACAAGTAGTTTTATTCTGATTACTGCTACCAATGATGTTGCGCTGAGCTGCATGCTGACGATGGAATTACCTCTAGTGTGAACGCCGGGCATCAGATGATTGCTAGATCTTCACTGTATGCTTACTGTACACAGTGCTGCAGAACTATACCTTGTTTATAGATGGCGTTCGCCGAATCCGCATCCTTGGAATAATTTTTGATTTTTGACCCAGGTAGAACACGATTTTATTCAACTCGAAATTTATTGCTTGGCACAATGCACCTTGAATATTGTATGTATGAAGGCACGATAACTAAAAACACTATCAGATTTTACGACACAATCAACATCTCTTTTCATTCAACTCTGCTTGACCTGTTGATATGCTGCTTTCAAAGATTGTACATATCGTATGTCCGCACCTTTAAAGCCATGGCGGTATATTCGATTATAAAACCAGTCTCAGTTATAAAACCATGGGCTTCATAAATGAAATGACATTTGAAGTAAGTTTCGTAAAAATGAAGGAATAAGTACTATGCTAACAAACTTACAGCCCAGAAGGAAGAGTGAACAGGTGGATTTAGACTGAAATTTCTTTATGGCATGGCGTAGTAGGTGAGTCATTTTGCACCTAAAATAGCTAGGAAAGCAGCGGTGTTTCGAACATAAGGCCATGGCTTTAAAGGCACTGACATACGGTACATGTACTTCGAAAGTAGATGTACGAGTATTGTTAGTTTGACAGCATGAAAGGTGGAGGACACTGTGTTCAGAAACAGTGACCTTACTACAACCATCCAGGGTTGGCAGAGCCCCGGTCCGTTGGGACCATCTGAACCATATGGGTGTTGAACCCGGTTCTGACCCTCAATATGCTGGGGGAGTTTTTAGTAGGGATGTCCACAAAATGTTATTTTTTTCACCTAAAATGGAAATGTAAAATGTGCAGAAAAAAGCAAAATGTTTTCGGGATATTTTCGAAAGTTCTCTAACAAATTTATAAAATTGTAAAAAATCACCCAAATTGCGCGATAAATGTGACTGTTGCCATGGCAACCAAAATGGCGCTTCATGTACCAGACCTCTGAGATCTGGCCAGATCTACGAGTCGTCGAGCCGTATTGCCAGAATAGCTACAGCTGTTACAGAAACATCGGTGGAAATGGCGTGCAGTGAGCCAAGTGTGTTGACGGAGGTCCACTCCGACTCCAATGAGAAGAGCGAGGAAGAATCCGACACCATCTCCATCGTAGAGTCTTCCGGGCAAGCCGCGAGTAAACTCCTGCGGCAAGTTTGCTGGATAAATTGGCCCAAAATGGAAAAAGTGTGAAAATTGCCCAAATTGCAAAAAGTGTGAAAAATACCCAAAATGCAAAAAAATCGAAAACATTTTGTGGACATCCGGCCTAGTTTTTAGACTTCTCCTTACGTCAGTCGTGTATTCTTTGATCGCGCCTGGGTGTTGTCCTGATAGCCATGTAACTCCCCTAGCATAATGAGGGTCAGAACCGGGTTCAACACCCATATTATGGTTCAGATGGTCCCAACGGACCGGGGCTCTGCCAAACGTGGATGGTTGTACTAGTAAGGTCACTGTTTCCGAACACAGTGTCCTCCACCTTGTTTCATGCTGTCAAACTAACAACATGTGTGAACTATAACAAGGTTTATCTAATACAGTCAGACCTCGCATAACCGCACACATCCGTTTTCCAGAAAAATATCCGGATAGGCGAGGGAACCGGATAATCGGACACACCGGCATACTGTATGTGTACATGGCATATGCTGTAAATCGGTAACCAACGATTTTCTTCCGGATGGTGAGGGATCCGGATAAACGAGGACCGGATAAGCGAGGTCTGACTGTACTAATATTGAACTAGTGTTGGGTTATATAATACCATGTACGAGTATATATCACGACTATGTTGCGGTGTTCAAAGATTCAAAGACACACAAGTACAGTGCATGTGACCAGAGTATGCAACCCTGTCATCCGGCACAGGCCGGTGAATCACACTCACCCTGAGAGAAGAAAATGGGTGCATGTAACTTCGGTCTATATTTTTATTAGCTTCCTTGCTAATGATATGCATGTATCATGAAAGTTTCCGCTACACCAAGGGTGTCCGCCGGTAACGGCAGCATTTGCTATGCATGCACGTCACTGGTAGTTGCCCCATTTACGACATAACGTTAGATGTTGAAAAACAGATACAACCAAGAGCTACATGTAGCCAGTTTCTCCTGATACGACTACAAGTTTTGAAAATATTCAAGCCCCTTCAAAAATGTACATTGAAAAACAAAAGCCCCCACCGGCCATCTACTAGTATTATATTAGTGAATATAAAATAAAATAAACTTCAGCATGGTTTTTTTTTCTCCAGGATATTATATACCGGTATGCACTCTTACTGAGAAACATCATCAAATATGTTAAAAAAAACTTCGGCATGGGTTTTTTGGAACTTTTTCTCCAGGGATATATATGCACTCTTGCTGAGAAACATCATCAAGGACCACCGCCACCAGCAACCACCATGTTGTTGAAGAAAGTACATCAGTTTATCATTCACATCTGGTAAATATCTAAAAAGTAAAAAAACCTATTTTTAAAATCGAAAGACTTTGACAAGACAAAATCGATGTAGGATTTGCAATGTGATAAAAATTCTTGTAAATAATGCTTGTCTAGAAATTGTTCCTCTGTATGAAAGAAAACGTGAACGCAATATGGGTTTGCCGGGAGCCATTGGCAGACCACTGATAACTGGTCAAGAACGCAGCTTCCACCCAACAGACCTATCTAAAATTCAATCCTAGTTGGGTCCTGTCGATCGACCTCGGTCACACAAGACCATCAACAGCATCTCCACAAGTGTTTTTCTTCTACCCTACATGCATAACCACTACACTCTACGTATGAAAGAAAACCAACCGGATGATGGGGGGATGGCAGTTCGGGGGAAAAGAAACTAGTATTGTTGCCCGTCCGCCACAAATCCAAATCAACTCCACTATTGGTCACTACTGATCAGCCAGAGGGTCACCATCAGTGGAATGGCCAGCATCTGCAGCTGAGCGCTGACGAACTTCACACTCGGGGTCGGTACTTGGCTTGTTGTTCGCCCCCGTATCCTGTTGGGAGCTGCTGTGGTGGTCCATTATTGCGCTGCCAAGCGACTCGACAGACTCGACAGCGAATGGCCGTGGTTCGCTGCTTCTGCGAGGGACGTCTGAGCGTGTCGTGGAGTCTGATGCACAGGGACTGGTTGGTAGAGCAGCAGTCGGTTCATCACTCTCCGGAATTGGAAGGCGAGTGTTGTCGCTGTAGCAATGGCCACCATCAGACACTTCAGGTACTCCTGCTGCTGTAGAGTGAGCTGCCTCTGATGGATCCAAACTCTTCTCCTGCTGCAGGGGGCGCAGTACTTCAACAGGCTCCGAGCGGTGCTCAACTCGGCGAATATCCTGGGACCTGCTGCGGTCCCCAATAGCTAGGTATCCGCCATCACTATAACTTCTGCCAGTTAGCTCAGCATGCATGAAATGGGAACGCTGATCACTCTGCGCTCTTGCTTCAATGCGCTCCACCTGCTGTTGCCTCTGGATCTGATCAGAAAGCATTCTACGGAGCTCGGAGCTCTGAGGGGTCAGAATCACAGATATACACATTGAAAGGATTAGTAATGAAGTATTTAAGGCCACACCAAGTTATTTCTATGTTTTGCGTCACCGCGCGCGTACCTTTTCGCACCGTTGCCAAGAAAAAAGTACACAAACGAGTCAATCGATGGCTGTTCTGGCAAACTTTCTCTAGCCAGTATGGCAGATCAGCTTCTCGATAATCTTGCATTCTAGGCGATGGTCCATAGAAAGTGTGGGCGAAGAAAATTCTTTCCAAGCCGTCCGGAAGGGCCTGCTCATCAAGCGAGCGGAGATTCCAGATGTCAAAGACTCCGAGTTTTTCCAGGATTGTCGTGATGGAGGGGAATTCCACTCGATTCATGCAGAAGAAGCCATCCCTGAAATCTGTGGCGGTATCGCTCCAGCTCAGTCTGCCAGCTGAACTGTGCCGACTTTTGGTCTTTTTTGACAAGTGACAGTTTACAGACTGAGTGTAGAATATAGCTCACAAAGAATGGAGTTTTGTTTTTTCTTCCTTTTTTTTCCCGCCCGCCTGCATGCCTTTTCCAGGAAATTTCCAACGCAAAACATAGAACTAACTTTGTGTGGCCTAATGCTACTAAACTTTAAGGTACTGTAAATGCTGGATATAATGTGCCCCTTTGATTTTCGATAATTTATCACTATATCCGGTGCATCACTATAGCCGATTTGCATGTACATGTATGACTGACACATGGCACATGACTGTGCATGAAATGATGCGTACACGCTGGAAAAAGCATGAAAAGCAGCCACGTGTACATGTGGCTGCTTACAGCATACAGGGAAGAATTTTCTCTTACTCACGTCTGCTGCCAGATGCATCCAGGCAACACTGGATCAGTTTTGGACGAAATGAACATTATTAGAAGAAGACTTGTTTTGTGATCATCACCCTTGATCAATATATGCGATAAATATCTTCCTGTACATTTGATATGGTTTGCTTCCTGAAGCCCATCACAATGAGCGATATTAGTCTTACCCATGACGCTGAAGCACTGTCTGTCCACATTTCCCTACCACAACACCCACTGACAGTCATCTGTGCATATCGCCCTCCTACACAGACAGTCAATTTCTGGCAGAAGCTTACCGAAATGACAGATGACACACTTCAGTCTTCACCACCAAAGTCTACTCTTATTGTCGTTGGTGATTTCAATGTCAATGTACAAGACAGTCACCATCCACATTACCACCATCTGGAAACATATTGTCATGATCTAGGCCTCCGTAACATAGTCAATACACCAACGAGATTTACCAGCCAATCCACTCTAGACTTAGTCCTGGTACCCAATACACTGCAATATATCTCACCTAATGATCAAGTACACACCGACCTCTATCTCCATACCTGCTGAGTAGAACCGTGCGACGTGTCCGACCACCAACTTGTAACTGTACAACTATGCACCTCCTCACTACCAATCGTACGCTCCCAACATAACTTCTACACTCGCAAGCCACCCATTCGCACACTACCTATTTGTGAATTCCAGACAAGTGTAGCTCAACAAATGGACAATCTACAAACTCACAATGATGATCTCCAGAGCTTGCAGGCTAAGATCACTTCTTCGCTAGATCAATACTGCCCGTTGGTACAAGTACGTGCTACCAGGAAACAGATGCCGCAACCCTGGGTCGATGATGAACTCCGTCAACTGCTTTTCCGAAGAAAACGTGCCCACTGTGCCATGATCAAACACCCAGACTGTGCACGTCTTGTCCAGAACTTCAGAGGTCTTAGACGGCAATGTAAATTGCTTACTAAGAAAAAACGTGCTGCGTTCTTCCAGCAACAACTGCATAACCATCGACGTAATCCACGTGCCCAGTGGTTCATTCTCAACACTTTACTTGGAAGGAAGAAAATCTCGCAAAACCCTGCTGCAAGTCTGCATGATATCAAAACTACTTTTGCCAAGGTCATCACAGATCCTTCACTCAACGCACAAATCCCTCTGACTATTCCACATGGGCCACGGCCTCAACACTCTTCTCGGAGTTCACAGCTGTGACAGCCGATGACATCCTGGCTCACGTACGGCGTCTTGACAACCGCAAGGCCACAGGTCCTGAGTTGATCCCTCCCACCATCTACAAGATACTTGGAGAGCAAATATCAGCACCACTTGCACGGCTCTTCCCGTCCTCACTCTCCACCGGTGAGTTTCCCGAATGCTACAAATTTGCACATGTACGTCCCATCTACAAGAGAGGCGACAAGTCCATTGCTAGCAACTACAGGCCGATATCACTGTTGCCCCAGTTGGCTAAGCTTATGGAGACACTGGCACACGAACAACTCATGGACCACATCTACACTGCTCCGAATGCGACACCACTACTCCCTCCGGAGCAATTTGCGTACCGGAAACACCACTCCTGTGAAGACCTACTGGCGTGTGTAGTGAACGACTGGCACACATCCTTTGATCAGGGACACTTTGTTGTTGCCGCATTCCTGGACATGTCAAAGGCATTTGATTCGGTAAACCATAGCATGCTCCTACAAGAATTGACAGACATTGGCGTGGGAGGTACAGCTTTGCACTGGTTCCTTACGTACCTACAGAACCGGGAACAGCGTGTCGTCACAAAGACAGCTCAGGGGGACACATACGCAGGAAACAGAGGTGTGCCGCAAGGCTCTGTCCTTGGGCCCTCTTTATTCAATATATCAGTTCATAATCTTCCCTCGGCAACGAAGCACTGCAAGGCACGGCAATACGCAGATGATGTTTCCCTCTACAAAGCTGGCAAGGACCTAAACCAACTCACACTCGATCTCGCTGAGGATATTACCATTGTTCGTGATTTCCTGGCTGCACGAGGTCTCCGCCTCAATCCTGACAAGACTCAGTTCATAATCTTCAGGTCGAAGTTCACACCTTTGACCCCTGACGTCAGCCTTCAACTGAACAACACCTCAATTGCCCCTTTGCCTGAAGTGAAGTACCTCGGCATCGTTTTGGATGAACACCTTACTTTCGGTGCCCACATCGCCCACCTTGAGCGCAATATTGGAAACAAGATCGCTGTGTTCAGGAAGATACGACACCAACTTACGGAGCACGCCAAGAAAACATTCTACATATCGTCCATCCAATCAGTTCTCGAGTGCGGGTCGAATGCGTTTGCTCACTGCCTTCGTGAGGGTCAATATGAGCGCCTGGTTCGCTTGAGTCGACGTGCCTTGCGCACGGTGTTCAACCTCGGTCGCTTCAACAGCATCAGTGCATTACAAAAACGCAACCATTTACTCCCACTTGCCGCTCGGTATCAGCTCAGACTTTTCGTTCTTATTTTCCGTTCACTAAATGATCTCGCAAGCCCCCTACTCTCTAGTTGTTTTTCGTTGCGCAGTGCATCATCACACACAAACTCCTGTACACGCTCTCAAGTTTCTAAAGCCCTTGCTCCCCCCTGCTTCAAATCGGTATGGTCTTTTTTCTCTTAGTTTTCTAGGCTCAGATCGCTGGAACTCTCTACCTGCTGACATTTGCCTATGCACATCTGTTTCTCGCTTCCGTCACCTTGTTTTGGCACATTTAGGGTACCCTGTAAGAAGGCCTTAGGCCTGTGGGGATTGCCCTATCAAAAATTTAATAATAATAATAAATAATAATAACGGTATAAAGGAAAAGGACATATGGATACGAGTTAAGAGTAACTCTCCATCACTGTAACTGGATACTATATACAGTCAGAAAGTGCCATGACTATGCACAAAACTGACAGAGTACTGAGACATTCGACGTCCTGACACCTAGCTTCAACACATCTCCGTAGCGCTAACCGACAGCCTTCCAACTTGGCGGTCGTGAGTCAGTCAAGTGAGAATTCAAGTCGGCAGGAAAACCATGTAGGAAGCAACACACTCTTCCCCTACTATCGCCGAAGTCGCACCAACCTCTTCTATCATTATAGCCGATATATATCGTTACACCCGGTCACTTTATAAACGCTACTCACTGTATGGTACTTTCATAGTACATGCAACGTAGTGCTACTGTGCATGCGACTGTTCATAGTCTCATAGGCGTACTAAAGTTATGTGGCTGTGCAACATGAGTTACATGAACACAACAGTTGCACCTGTAGCACTACCATGCAACACAAGCTGGATCAGAACTGCATCGGACAGATGCTATTACAACAGGTCATGCACTTTGTACCTGCTTCGAAGCATCCGGCATGTTTTGCTACCCAAAGTCCATTCTTAGGACCGATATATTCTACTATGCGACAACATTGCTTGTAAGAATAAAAATGTTCACTTGAAACCCATGCTATGTCAGATTACGAAAATATGAGAGTTCATTCTTGTAGGCAGTAAATACACGACCACACTATAATTGATTTTTTGATACGCACTGTACTGTACTTGTACACCACTTATATAAAAATAACTTGCCATCGTTTTTTTGTAAGAGTCTCACTCGGAGTCACCATTGCTCGATTCATCAGAGCTCAATTCACCAGAACTGACAGGTCGATCGAAGTCACAGAGTTTTGTTTACGGAGGAAGTACGTGTTACTGTTTTGTAAGAATGATCTACGTTCTTGACGAAGAAAAGAGCATTCGTTACGGCAAACTTCCCATTTAATTACGTTCACCAGTGCAACGTGACTTACTTCCTGCCGCAAGGCCCGGAGCTGTTGCGAATCCTCATCGCGCCGGGCATCAGAGAGCGCAGGTACAGTGGGAGCGGACGGTGCTATAGACAGCAAGAAAGGCACTCTGATGCTATACCTCATGGCAGTCAGTACCAGTAGGATGATGATGAAAAGAAGAAAGATGGGAATGAGGATGGCCACAAAGACGTGAGAGACCACCGGCAGCTCCACCATTAGTGCTTTCGTGCATTTACCCAGGGCTCCAAACACGTACACCAGAGGATCAGTGAACAAGCGAGTGAACGCCACAGCAATTGCCTAAAGAATATACAGCAAAAAGCACACACATGCACATGCATATGCGCACGCACACCACACACACGCCCATGCACATGCACACACGCACATGCACACACACACACACACACACACACACACACACACACACACACACACACACACACACACACACACACACACACACACACACACACACACACACACAGTGATGTCGTATTCAATAGCAAGTTGCGGTCACTTGGGTCTGACGGTCTCGCTTTGCTAAAAACCTCATCATTCGGGGCTTGAGAGATGTACAGAAAAACCTGTCAAGGCGACCACTCGGATAAGGCGACCACCTGTCCTAGAAGACCACCGCAACCAGGACCAAGGGATGCTATTTCCAGGCAAATGACCCTGGATAAGGCGACCATCTGGTATCAGAGACCAGATTTTTGAAGGTCCCTTGAGCGGTCGTCTTAGACAGATTTCACTGTAGGTCACGATTCTATACCACATTGTGACATATCGACTAATTGTGCAAGGACACTTACGACATACATTCATGGATTGCCACCTACACGTACATACCCACATAGCACTATGGCCATGCAGACAAGTACAGTGCTGCCAACCAACTGAGTCTGTTTTGCGTGCTGCGACTTCTGATTTTCCGTATTTCACAGTGTTTTTCCGTACTACCAAATGTACTGCCGTGTGCATTGCTTGTATTGTGCTTTTCTGACACTAGCATGCTTGTCGGTGGCTGAATTTGCTAGCGCAAAAGTGTGTGACTTGTACCAGGACATGATATTTCGTGCTGCAATTAGTCGAAGCATGGCATGGACTCGCTTTGGCACAGGGATATTCATCGCTCCGTTGGCGCTTGCCATGCTTCTACATACACATCTGTAACTGAACGACCCTCTTCAATTTTCCGTACCATTTTGCTCAAATTCCGTACTGCAGACGAAGGAGTGATTTTCCGTACAAATATGGAAGGTTAGCAGCACTGCAAGTAGCACAGACTCTAGCCTATCAAAATACATTATCATTGTTTGTGAATGTCCCAAGACAAAACCTGCACAATTTTCCAGTAACCAGAGCGTCCCAAGTTTGCACGCTACAACAGTAAAGCAGCTTTATCAATCCAGCCCCCTCCCTAGCCCGGCAAACCTTCTGGCGCACAAGTGGTGTTGGATTATAACGGCACTACAGTACGATAATATACACATAGGCAGACTTTTAAGCCACTTGAAGTGACAAACTTACGTGTATGTTTCACCGTTATACCGGTATCGAGAGTCTACAAACGGGGGCGGGGGAATGATTGCACCTCCAAGAGCGCAAGGCCACGATTCTACAGGTGTGTGTGTGTGTGTGTGTGTGTGTCACAGAAGGAGGGGGTACAGTCTCCACTGACCTGAGCCGGCGTGACTTCGGACAGCGGACTGACAAGCAGAGCCTTCTGGTGCTTGAGGCAAGGATCCTCGGAGACAATAAACACCGACTTCATGACCAAGCCGACATTGGTCCACATCGATATCTCGCTGTCGGGCTGACACGCCTCCGGTATGCCTTTCATTATTTCTGCCATCTGCTTGGACTGAGCTTCGCTGTAAAGCCTGTACCATTCCCAGGGCACTGAGATCATGAAAAGGACAAGCACGGCCCACGTCATCACGCCCCAAAAGTTGCCACGGACGGCCGTCAGCAAGAGCATGATGGTATACATTAGGAAGATGAGTGCACCGCCGCCCAAACAACAGAACAGCACGTCTTGATACCACGGGCGTCTAGCGATGCCAATGAATGGCAGCTCGTCCATTGCATGCCATCCATCCTCGCCTGGACTACGCAGCGGCTTCATTTCCAAGAAGTCCACAAGAGCGTCATACACTTCATGAGGATTCTTCGCTTCTCCGTTGCGATAGTTTCTCAGCACATCCACAGAGTCGCGGGAAATCTCTCCTTCAAGGCGAAACTGACCAAATTCGAATCCAACCTGGTCAAACTCGGTCAAGACGTGATCAACTAAGCGACGGAAATGGAAATCTTTGTGAGCGGTGGGAGGATTGACGTCCTTTTCTTTCTGAGCACTGCCCGTGCTGCCATCATTATTTCCATTCCGACTCTGTGTCTCTGTGGTGTCCTGTGCATATGCGTGCCCCTCGTCTTTGTTATGTGATGCAGGCACATCAAACAGCTCCAGAGGATCCACCCATTCCGGATCTCCTTCTCTCACTTCTTTGGGCAGACATCCGCTGGCTAATAGTAGCAGGAGCGTCACGGTTAGCAGGGGATAGTATCCATGCCATCCAAGTCCAGCTGGTAACATCTTTCGGAGAAAATGAATACAGCCAGGATCTAGGAAAGCACTGTATTCCAGCCAGCGCAACGTGGTTCTGATGTGTGGAGTCAGCTACCATGTAGAATCGATGTGGTATATCAAGCCGCCCAAACGACTTGAAGTTGAAAACGCTTATGGAGAAGAGCACGACACACGTACACGGACATGGTGACTTCGACTACCTTCATCATGCATGATTGTTCTAAAAAAAAGTATCCGAATTATTTTGTTGCTTCACACACATGACATCATCGAGCAGCAAAAGGGAGATTCCCTGGCCTGCTGGGTGCATCGTGGCCGCGCCGCGTGGGCGCTGCATGCTACGTAGATCTGCATGTACCGGTACGCGGTAGTCTACGTACCAAAAACATGGACATGGAATTGTTTATTTTGAAAATGCTTCCTCCATGTATTTACCATCTTGGTTTTGCTAGATTCAACGTTTAGAATGACAGGATAGAATGACATTGGATCTTTTTTTGCTTTGAGCATCAACTTATCAAGTAACTAGTTCTACAAGTAGTAGCTTGCAGGCTCAGATCTTCAGCCTGTTCATGCTTATCTGCAACCTTCCCTGGCTAATGTTATGAGTGTGACCGTGTAGATGGAATAATAATATCCAATCGAGATTTCGGCAACCACTCAGACGTCAGTCAGTATTGGAAAAGGCGTGCGTGGAAGGGGTGAAATGTGATATGAAAGCAAGCACCTACATGAATTGTACATGTACTGTGCACAGCAATAAGAAGGACATCTAGTATCTACAATGCCGCCACCTATGCAGATCCCAGGCTTCTATTACGATCCTGAACGCAATCGGTACTTTAGACGTCTTGTCCAACACAATGCAGCAAGCTTACCGTCGGACCGAGCTAAGCCGAAGGTACTGGTTGGCTCGGCCCCTGATGTTGTAGACTCAAAACGCCCTCGCGTACATGTATCAAAACTTCTTGCGTGTCGTCAACTGGGTGCATTAGCACCATCAGCACAGAGGAGCCTGGTTTCTTACTGTGTGGCACACCACCTGCAAGCAGCAAAGCATCATCAAGTTAGCCTTGCATGGCCGAATAACGTTTTCATGTTTATGGAGAAGCCGGCTGTGTTACCAGTATGTGAATCCGGTTCAAGTGTTGACGGGAGCAAAGCGTTATTTTTTTCATTGAATGGCCATATATTTGTTGTAAACGGAGAAGACATTTGCCCGTGTCCACAAGAGGCATTTGCACCACCTTGTGACTGGAACCCAAACTTCGTCGAACGAACACAGGTCATGTCCTGGAAGCCAAGATCAGAGGAGAGTGGCCATCGGCATGTCAGTCATCTTTGCCGTGTGAGGCAGCATTCCGGTCAAAACTTTGTGCTTGAAATACTACGAGCTGTTCCTCGGAAGACATGCTCAAGTAACTATTCTTTCTCTCTAGCGAACACATTACATTTTATTAGTAACGCCGGTGCCATTGACCTGGCATGGCATCCTAATGACGACGCTGTCTATATTGCAATGGGGAGATCTCTGAGCGTCTTCTCCGATGCTGGTGGTCTACGTGATGTAGCTTCTGGCTGTCGTAGAATTTCTCGCGTGCGCCACATGTCCGATAGGAATCTGCTTTGTGCTGCCTACGCATGTGGTGAGATGTGTGTGATTGATGAGCGGCTGCCTGCGGGTACAGGGCACGTTCTGCGTCGCAGCGCCGGCAAACCCATTTTCATAGATGATTTCTGCTTTCTACGCGATGAACAGCAGATGGCCGTCAGCTCGTTTGACCACCGTCTGGAGCTCTGGGATCGGCGCGGTGGCTCGTCGGGTTGTGTCGTTCACAGTTACTCCGGACATGTCAATGATGGAGAACGTGGCCTGGGCCTAGCTGTGCATGGCACTTCTCTGGTGGCAGCGCTGGGCACAGACGGTCTTGTGCGCCTGTGGAATGTGAATACAGCAGCTTCGCTCTCGTCTGTTCGGATAGGACGCCAGCCACTCTCAGCTGCATGCTTTCCATGGTGGAGCCCGTTAGCTGATGATCCGCAGGCATCGTTCTCTTTCTTCACCTGCAACTTATCAAGCGACGGCATGAAGTTACAGTGGTTTTCTCCGCATTTATAGTGCTCTGATTAATCGCCGGGTTGGGATTCTGAACTCTTCTCACCAGCATAGATACAGTGCTATCTTCTGTGTGAGGAGACCATGCAAGAGTCAACATTTCACTTTTACGTATATGGAGGTATTTTTTTAGTGCTATTCGGCGTGGTGCTTTTGCCCGGTTTCAGAAGCAGCTGACGTTTTCTTGTTTCGCTGAGCTGGTTGCTGATCTTCCATCTTCCATCTGCACTTCAGAGTTCAAGTTCTGATATTGTTCATGGTACAGGTTTGGGTTCTCTGTATTACCAGAAATTCCCGTGGTATACCACAGATCCTTCTTTCACATTGTCGTGCTATATTTTCATTTATCTTTAGAAGACTAGGCGTATTGCAGTACTATGCTGAAACCTGTACTGGTACTTCAATGAAAATACCTTTAGTAGGCTTTACAGAAGAAGTGCTGTTTTCTGTGTTCTGAATTGTTCTCTAGCATGCATAGACCCCCAAAAATATATTCTTGGGGGGGGGGGGGCGTACTTATGCATTTTGTTGTACTTATGACGACGTACCAGTACATGTATGGAAAGCGCAATTTTCAGAACTCTCTCTCTCTCTCTCTCCCCCTTCTCTCTGTGCTATTGGCGCGCCTGGTTAGGATCATTCGGAAGCTGAGACCCAAGGTCGGCAGAGCATCCCAGACCACGCCACCACTCCCCTTATATTACCTTGGCCTTAGCATGGCTCACACCAGGGAGTCGTAAAATAATTATGTTACGACTCCCTGGCTAACACAAAACAGTAGAACGGAGAAAGAGTGCACGTATAAACGTCGTTATAGGGAGGTTTAGTTCCCACGTAACGGAAACGCGTACGTGGGTGATCCACGTAAAGTGGATGAAGGGCACCCACGTTGCAATGTTGTGTTTAGTCACACGGAACAAACAAAAGCATGAAGCGAAAGGCCCCGATGAAACCTGGTCAAAGACGAAGCTACCCGGGCCTAAGAAGCTCATCCAATATTTTGATTTCGTGCTTCGGAAACTTCTTCAGCTGAGCACCCTCACAGCTTGCACAATGCACTCCATTCTGATTTTCACCCACGTTCTGGCGGAACGTGGGTGAGCCTCCATACGTATACGGTACCAATATGTACTATGTCGTGAATCGAATCAGAAAACGTCTGTACGTGGGTCACTGAGTATCACGTGGTACACACACGTAAAGTACCCACGGATTACGTGGGACTAAACCTCCCTTATGTCTTTTCTCGCGGGCGCGCGCGGCGCACGTCCTAGATCCTCGCGGCCCCGGCCCCGTGCATGCACAGCCGAGTCCTGCAAGCGCATAGTAGTAAAATATCGGTATTTTACTACTACTCCGCATAGTAGTAAAATATCGGTATTTTACTACTCCTTTTCAGTTGATCTGACCACAAACCACTGCAAGTGCAAACCACGCATACAAACGGCCGCTGCACTGGCAAGCCTTCGAAGTTCGATGAAACCTTCGAAGCCGAGGTCAGATAGAAAGCTTGGCTCTATGCAAGAATCGAAGGCCAAAGAGTTGTCGTCGAGCTTTTGAACTCTTGGTTTGGTGTCTGTTGTGCAGATCTGCAGGAACTGATTTGCACGACTCAAGGATTCCTGGCACAGGCACAAGCCATGTCCATCTTGTCTTTTTGAGGTTTTTCCTTCCGCACAATGGAAGGCGAGGTGGATGGCACGGACCTGGATGCCGTCTCGGATTCAGGAAGCACAAATACGTTCCAGGAGCTAGCTAACAGGTCACGCAGCCAATGCGAGGAACATAACCCTGTGAAGAAAGGGACACTGCTGAAGTGGACTAACTACATCCAGGGATGGCAGGAGCGTTATGTTGTGCTCAGCAACGGCACACTGTCATATTACAAGTCCGAGTTCGACACCTCCTTCGGCTGCCGAGGCTCTATGAGTCTGTTGATGGCAAATGTGCAGGTACGTTCTTGTTCACTTCCAAATCATTGTCCCCCCTCCTTGTGATCATGCTGTTTGCTTATAATAATATATCGCGGCTGGCGTGAGTTATTGCAATTAGTTTTTTTTTCGAAAATCCGTACCTACAATTGTGTTAGTGTATTGCGAAATCCCAAGGGGAAAAGTGATGTTTGAAGACAGCTAGAGGTCCTGGAAAACTGCCGATCATCAAGCTGTAGCAGCTACGTATGGGGTTTGCTTCAGGACCGTGCTGTGCGTTGTAAGCAACTTGTTTTCGTGGGGAAAGCACCCGGTTTCTTTCGGGAGTACTCTGCTAATCCTCTCGACCAGCATGAACTCTCTCAACATAACAGACTGTCCAACCGTCCTGCTTTGAGCAGGACTGTCCTGCTTTGGACCAAAACATTCGTATACATTTACATGGGACACGATTGCCTTTGTATACATTGTATATGGGTGGAATGGTGGCATTGTTGGACAGACTGACATAACCAAAAATGTAATGTTGTCTGCGGCTTTGGGACATAGGTCTACGTGTGGAGATGGGCTTTGCAGCTGTCCTCTGTTGACAATGGTTGATGGCCAGTTTGTCAGGCGATTGCCCACTTCCACAACAGTCGTCAAAGTAGTCAGTGTTTGGGACTTGCAATTTCTCCATGGGGATGTCATTTTGTCGAGCTCACCAATCAATCGAGAAGTAATTTCGAGGCGCCTTGCAGCTTCATCTCTCGAAAGTAGTTGGCTGGATACACCCGTTCCCAAAGCACTGCGCAGGTTGGAACCCATTCTTACCGTACAACGTTTTGGCAATATAGCCATCGTCAGGTATGAATGCAACAACAACCTGACGATGGCAATATTGGCGGAACTTCGGTAAGAAATTAAAATTGAGGATATTGGGTCAACGAGGAGGGGCCAGTAAAGTGGCTGATAACCGCCAACCGTTAGGGGCCATCCGTAAATATAGATATTTATTTAGAAAAATATCGATGTACATTTTGCGTGTGTGAGCATGTCCAGAAAAAAGACCAAAAATATCGATACTATGTACCATTTGTATGTGTTCGTTTCTCAGGGAGGGGGGAGGGGGGTTTGAAGAGAAACGACTAGTTTCGTTTCTAAATAAATATCGGTATTTATGGAAGGCCCCTTAGCTGCAATTCATTCGACACTTGTTTGATCTTCATTCTCACGATGGCCCGTGGCCAACAAGAGAAGGTTGACTGATTTATCGCGTGGTCAGTGGCAAGGTTTCCCGGCTTCGTGCATACCTCGATCTCCCGACAAAGTACAGCAGATCAGGGCTGTTTGCTTGAAACCCTACGTGCCCTCGGTATAGGCGATGGTGCACACTCCGTACACAGGGCCATGTGCTAGACATGTTGTTGTGCAGTTGTGGGGCTTGAATGTTGAACATCAAGCTCGAATCCTGGTTGTTTTGTACCATTACTGTACCACCAAGAGCATGCCGCCCTCCAACTGCGACACCTCGCATCACATGCTCCAAGGACGTTTCTTGCTACGTATAACGAAGGCTAACGTGCACACAGTCCTGATATCTGCCATGGTCATTTTGATGCCTCACATACGTTGCGTGAGCGTCTTCCAGGGAGTGCTATTTCTACTAATCCACTGCTTGCTCAGAACGGGCTAGGGGCGTACAGCGTTAACCCGACACCACATGATTTTGAGTTTTGCCGCCAGCATACCCCATAGCAAACACAAGTGTAGAGGTGCACACTCTTGAGCGGTTATGTACTCTTGGCATTGCCATTAGGAGAGCAGCATGTTTTGCTAGGGTTGTCAACAGGCTCAATTTCTCCGTGTGCTTCCGTACATACTCTGGGTCTGATGCATGCCTGTAGACATGGTGTGCCAAGAGTGCATAGAGTTTTGTACTCTTGCTTGCAATACTATCATGGTACAATCAAGAGTACATAACCCCCAAGAGTGTGCAACTCCAGCTATGGGGTCTGCGACGGCAGACCTTCACATCACATGATGAACCCGTACACATTATTTGCACTCTGTGCATGATAGATACAGGGTTGTACGCAGCCCAGCTTTGGGTACAACTCTCTTGTGGTCACTTTGCACTGTTTGCCAGCATAACCTTTTGAACCATGTCACGTGATGTGAAGTTCTGCCGTCGCAGCACAGCATAGAGGTTGTGCAGGCAGTTGCACACTCTTGGGGGTTATGTACTCTTGGTACAATGCTTATGCATATACATAACGGTTACGGGAAAAGTGTGGGTTTGTCTCCTAAATATGGAAATTGTGTGCACACTGGAATGGTACATACTACAAACTACGACTTTTGGGTAATAATTTTATGATACTCATCTGATCTGTTGAAGGTTGATTGTGAGTAGTGTTTGCTGGATTCCAGGAGTGCGTGGATAGACCTTTTGCGCGTTGTACAGATGTACGAAGTTCAGTACTAGGGCGTAGGTGTGTACAGACCCGATTGGGTGTTCATTGTGTGCTATGCATGCGCATTTGACCAATTCTAGCCTCATAATCAATGGCAAACAATCCATTTTCCAGCTTCTTCACTTTGGTTAGAACTAGGGTGCGTTTGGTTGGTACGATCTAGAACAGGATCGAACAGCTGGTGCACATGGAGCAGCCTCATGCCAACCAAACGGTACTCCAGAAACAGAGCACATTTTCGTGGAAAATGTGTGAAACTTGAAAATGTGTATGGGTCACCATGGTCACTTTGTACGGTACAACGAGTCCAACCTAAAAGCGTATGCACGTGATCATTTGGGACCAAAATCGATGTTCCCGCCAGGTTTCACTGTGAAAAAGTGAAACTGCTCGGTCTGCTCCGGCCTCGAGGCCGGAGCAAGCAGAACATGTTCTGGCCGACCCAGAACAGGTGCAGTCCCAACCAAACGCGCTGTTCTGGTGAATCCTGTTCTAGTTCGTACCAACCAAACGCGCCCCTAGTGACTAGCTAGATCTTTGTCAGAAAAGGTTTTCGTTTGAAATGCCTTCAGGGCCCATTTCTTAGTGGAAACAGCAGAAAACACAATAGGGTCCTGCACATTCAACACCCATTAGGTTCTACGGGATTCTACGGGATTTCGTGCATCTGTACAACGCGCAAAAGGCCTTTTGTACCACATACCCATTGAGTATGTGTGTGTGTACGTATGTGGGCGTGTGTGTGTGTGTACATGTGTGTATGGGGGAACATGTATATACAGTTGTGGCATGTGAAATCCGACACTTGCCATAGGGGACAGCGCCATAAATGGACACCAATGATGTAATGCACTGCACCAAATTTGTACTATTAGAGAGGTTCTGCTATACGTGAAACGTAGAGAAATCACGTAGAGAGCAGGTGTCTGGGTTAGAGTCTATGGCTTCGCGTGTTTTGGCTCCAGATTTCTACGCGGAGATGAGGTTCTCTACGTTGTGGCACACGCAGAGAAAATGCGTACGGATTTGCTGGGTATCGATCAACTGCATGCAGAAAACTGCCAAATATGGAAGGGGAAATTCCCAGTACACATTCCACGTGACTTCTCTAGGTGAAACGTAGAGCAGAACAGCATTTCTTTACGTTACGGGAACGCGAAGAAAGTTCGCGTGATTCTTTGCGTCGCGTTCCCAAAACGTAGAGCAAAACCTCCCTATAGAGACGTATGCATCCCAAACAGATCGAAAGGTCACAGCGTAGATACACACAGTTCACAAACATGGTACACATAAGGAGTATTGGTATCCAATCCCCATTCATTTTTGCCAGCACCTTTTGAACCTTGACTGTGATGAGTACCAGTTTTGTCATCAGACAGACAAAGTTGTATGTAGCACATGTACTGTACGTATGCAGGGCTGCAGACTGCATGGTGCAGTCCCTTATGCCAAGTGTCGGATTTCACTTGCCACAACTGTATGTGTGTGTGCACGTGGGTGTGGGTGGGTGTGCCGGGTAGCATACTACAGCTGTATAGGCAAAGTATTTTGTGTTGGGGAAATACCCAAGGCTGGGCTGAACCTGGAAGAGAATTGACAACATCATAGCATGAGAAAAACACACATGTTTAATTGTTTATACCTAATGGGGTAGTTCACTCAATAGAGTGTGCCTACAAGACGTGTTTCATCTTTGGCTATTATGTTAAAATACCTTGCACCGCTATCAATACTATGGTCTGGTCTTTAGTGACATGCTTTTTTCAAGTGTAACTCTGTTTTTTTTTTTGCTTTGATAAACTGTATCGCTGGCCTCAGGCGAAGGTCACTGGCTCGATTCCTGGTCGAACCAGTCATTTTTTTCTTCGGACTTTTCCCTTTCCACCCCCTCAGCTTATGGATATAACAAACTGTGATATTCATTAATTGCTCTATTCTCCCCCCCCCCCCCTCCTCTCTCTCTCTTGTCCTTTATCTTGCCTCCACTCTCAGAAACATGAGTTTGACGCGAATAGATTTGATGTAAGCGTGACTGACTGTATCTATTACCTCCGGTGCAACACGAATGAAGAATGTCAAGACTGGCTGACTGTTCTCCAGCAAGCAAAGGTAGGTTAGCTGAGGCTATGTACTATTTTGGTTTTGTTCAGCATTATTCATTGGGTCACATGCAATATTGCTTGACAAAATGCTCTTCTCCTGTGTGTGTAGGTCTGGCACTAGCACATTGTTGCAGGTGCCAAAATCATCTGCCCTTGCCCTGGCTCTTTTGTTACAGAAGAATGGTTCATCTTCAGAGTGTCTGAAGGTATTTTAGGGTGATACGGTCAGCCGTTTGAAGTACAATTTACTGTTCGGGTTGGGGTGGTTCCCCTGAAGCGTTTCGAAATCTAGAGCCTAAATCAGTGCGTTTTACTGATCTACAGTGTGACTGGGTGAAGAGTGGTGTGATCAGTAGTATTCAGTGCTGTGGTGACCATAGCGTGTCCGGCGCCCCTGAATTATTGCATGGCACCTTCCAACCTCCCCCCCCCCCCGCCCTCCTCTGGAGTTTGTGGCATTGTTTGCTTGCTCATGTCTGTGTGCCTAACGTTTGTGCTTTGTGTGTGTGAATCCAGGAGAAACTTCATCAGGATCATGGCTATGGCAGTGATGTACAAAGTGTCAACAGCCCACTGCCCCTCGGGCGAGGGAATTCCATCATGTCGCTCAATTCAATCATATCAAACTCGTCCTGTGTCACAAAGGTATGTTTGCTTGCATGCACACCGGAGAGAAGGGACTGTTCAAAAGGTTGCTTTAGGCGGTTTGCAATATCTGCAGTAGAATAATTATGTTGAAAGCAGACACCCTATGCACCAGGCATATCTTTCCTGTATTGTGATTGACACATGTCCTGCAGGGCTATTTCATGTGGTGCAGCCAAATTGCGTGCTTGACCAGAAACATTTTTTTGCAACAATTGGGTTGCTCAGCTTTTTTGATGTAAGGCCCAGCCATGGCCGGACCAGCCGGACTGGGTGCTGCGGAATTACAAAATTCGAAAACAGTTACGACCAGCGAGAATTGTCGAAAAATGCAGACACGTCCACCAAGAGAAGTTTTAGCGACGTACTCTGTATACATAGAGCCAAGAGTCCATAAACAAGAGTATGCAATTGTGATCTCTGTTCTATGGGCTAGATGCTCGGCGCGCTGCCTTCATTACATCATTCAGCTGCAATCCGCAACCTCGATCCCGTGGAGAAACCGGGAAATGAGGACGGGATAAATGAGGTCCGACTGCTTCAATGACTTGACTTGATGAGCATAACTGATTCGCTGTTAATACTGCGCGGATCAGCAACTGTTTTATCTTTTGCGTGCACCCTGCAGCCATCTCACACTGCCCGCCTCAAGGAGAAGGTGCTGGAGATGGAAACGTTCCGCGACCTCCTTCAGCACCAGATGGATACGTTACAGACGACGTTCGACGAGTGTCTTGGATGTATGCCACCGAGCAGCCTGGTCAGTACCCCGGAATTTGACAATATGGCCACACTGGACGACGACTATGACAAGGACTCATCGGAGGACTGCTTGGATGATGAGTCGCAAGCCATGATTTCTAAGAAATCGTCTAAAACTTCAGGTGAGCTGCTTGCAGGTTCTGTTATACACTGAGCATAGTAAATGCTACTGTACTCGCTCAATGTGGCTGATGATCCCCCCCCCCCCCCCCCCCCCCGTCCTCAACCGCACTATGCAATGCATCTTATGCATCCGTGCAGCAAGTATGCTGAAGGTTGCAAAGCAGCTCTGACCTAGGCGAGCATGACCCGTGGACAGCGGTCGCGCCTGATCGCTATTGATACAGGAGCCTTCGCCTATGTTATTTACACACTGTAAATACCGTAGAATCCCGCGGATAAGCCCATGGGCTTATCTGTTTCACAAGGACATTTCGGTGGGCTTATACAAGAACATGGGATTATGCGCGGACGTGGGCTTATACGCCGACACCAAGTTGTGCTATTGAAAAGTATCAAGGAAGTGAGAAGTACATTGCAGAAAACCACTGTGCAAACAAAAACAACCGATGATTGTGCTGAAATGTACGAAAAAAACTACTGTGCATTGTATTACGTACATTGTATGGCCAAGAGTCCATAATTTATGGACTCTCGGTATGACCTAAGCCCATGGGCTTGTACGATGAAGCTTTGTGATGTTCGAACAAACCCTGGGCTTATGCGCGGGCATGGGCTTATCCGCGGGATTCTACGGTAGCATAGGTGTATGCAGTGTGATGTACTGATCAGAATGGTGTAACTGTCACATGTACACAAAGTGAAAGTGGTCACCGGGTATACTTAAGATAAGAGGACTCCCTGGCGAAGGTAGCCACTTTATAGGGGATTCACACTCGTGGGGAAACTTGAGGTCACGGGACAAGGTAAAAGTTCAGACCTTCGGTCAATGGAGTGGGACCATTCACACGCGTGGTCAGTTTCCCTTGGCCGCATGTTTGGCCATGAATTTGTGGCGGGGCAATTAAAAAACTATTCATACATGTCACGTGCCTGTTGTCAGGTCGTTGCTAGCATTTGGCCAATCAGAGCAGCACCGTACCAGGGCATTATCAGACGATAATGCCCGGGTACGGCGTACCCATGCCCATTAGGAATGACCCCAGGCGTACTACGTACGCTGGTGCACTGCCAAATATGCACCAAGCCATGCCTTTTGGGCAGTGACCTGGTACATAATTGGCAGTACTCCAGCGCACATAGAACACATGGGACCATTCCTAAGGACACCACACAAAACGAAACTACTAAAGTACTAACGTGCACCGTCCAAAACATTTATATTTTACTAGCAATGTCGACATATGAGAAGTAATTTATAACAACGTGACAATAGCACACAGCATGTCATTACCATGCATTACTAAATTCAAGTCAATTGAGACGAACAAGTCAACAGGTGAACATGCGTCACAAAGTTACCTATCTGGAAGAGATCAGATTGTATCTCGAACTCCTACCGTAAAATATACAGTTACATCTACATTGTACTTCAAATGTACCTAGCTACATGATTGTCCAGTGTACACATGGACCTCAAGTAAACTGAAAGCAATGCGAACAAAATCTCAGATGTATGTGAAAAAGTATCATTGTTCCGAATAAGAACACTTACAATGTACTCTCAAAACTAGTCGAATTACTAGTGCCCCTTGGTCAAGGATGTTTGCGGCCAACGTTAACGCCAAAGCAGCAGCGAATCAGCTAACTTCCGTACCGCCCAATAGGCAACACTAACACCAAAATGCAAAGACATATTCCTGGAACTGCAAGTAAATCTGACACAAAACGTTCTATCATTCCACGGAGAAAGCTCCTTCCGATCTTGTTCGACCCTTCATTCATATGACAGCTGATTGGAACCTTCCTCCTCCCTTGACCATGTTTACCTTATTTGTCTACAACTAGGCACGTGGCATGTATGAACTATAATAAACACATGGTGCGTCGTGCATTATGGCTGATTGTATGCCCTAGTGCGTAGCCCTCGGTCGTGCACCGTAGCCCGCGGGCCTGCGGCCCTTGGGCTACGGTGCACGACCTCGGGCTACGCACTAGGGCATAAATCAGCCATAATGCCCTCCGTACCATGTGTTATTATATGTATAGATTATAGACCGGTTAGGAGGTCTATACAGGATATATAGACCGAGTAAAAGACCGAGGTCCCCCGAGGTCTTTTACGAGGTCTATATATCCTGTATAGACCAACTATGAGGTCTATAATCTATTTATCGTGTTCTCCACGCAATAGTTTCTCTTCATATACGACATATCCTTGTAATTCTATTATTATACTATAGCCTATACCGCATTGTACTGCATTGAAAGTCAAGATCATTGTTTAAACTAGGTTCAGCATCGGTAGCACAGTGGCTGGGTGGTAAGGAAGAGTGACTGAGATTCACAAGGTTGTGGGTTCAAATCCCATCTTGTGTATTTCTGCTTTCTTCAAAAATTTCTTTTTCTAAGTTGGAGAGAAAATTTCTAAGTCCAAGAAGTTCTTAGGAGTCAAATATAAGTAGTCAAATATATCGTGTATTTGACTAAGCAGTCAAATACGCGATATATTTGACCGCTTAGGTATCAGGGAAATTAGTGGGGTCAAATACTAAGAAGGCGATAAACATCTGTATTGCTTTTTTGTGGTACGTTCTGTCCCATGTTTTGAAATTGGCCATGCACGATTTTCCAATGTGCACTGTCTGAAAATGCACGTTGCGATGCACCCGTACAACTACGGGTTCAGAGTTCTCGCCAAATACAAGATCTACATACGCGTGTTGTACGAGGTGATTTGGCTTTTTTTTAAACATTTGGCATTTTTAACAAATGCGTAAAAATTGGTTTTCTTCTGGCTGCTTCTCTGCTCCGGATGGCTGTATCGAAGCATGGGTGGTGGCAAATGAGAGCCAGTATATCGTAGATCAACTTTGACCAGAAAATTTGGTGCATATAATTTTAATTCTCCCTGCCACGTCGGTATAAATAGTGGTGGGTGCTTTGCCATTTTGTGTAAAATGTGTAAAATAAGCCCCTGAATGGACGAGGAGGGCATTGAATTGCTTCCGCAGGGCCTTTGGACGAGGTCAGGCCGTCTTGCCATCACCAAAGACAACAATGAAGAACAGTAGGTTACGGAATACACTCTGTGAGAACGAAAACATGGCTGGGATGCTATGCTACCTATTCAATTCCACCGTATGACACAGCCACTAGTTACAAATTCAAAAACACGGCTTTCGCAGGCTACAATGCGGTTGACAGATTAATTTTCCTCCACTAGCACATCCTTGAAGTGATATCTATCAACTAACTAAGTTACTTCAGAACATTGATGACCGAATATCCCAGTTTGTGATGCCATTTTACAAATTTGTTAAAAATGACACACCAATTATTTGAATCCTGAGAATACTATGAAAGTAGGGCATGATTCAAGACACTTTCCAAAGTGGGATCATTCCCATTTTTTGACACAACAAGCATGAAGGATAGCTCTTCCACTTGCAACAATTCATTTGGACGTAGCTTGCCTAGAAGTGGCTGAAAAACGTCATTTTACAACCATGTTAAAAAAAGCCAAATCACCTCGTATAGCCATGGGATTTTTCCCTTGACAAACGCCCTGAGGCCCACAGCTTTGCCAATTTTTTCCCTCGAGGTTCTTCCTTTCCCCCAGTACCATCGTTTCCATAACAACTTTCCCATAACCGTGGTTTTACCCGTGTGTGTGTGAATCCCCTATAACCAGTTCGCCGAGGAATCGTTTTTGACAGGTCTTACTGTGTATGGGGACAGTAATGTGTACAATCATGCAGATGTATGTGTATGGGGACAGTATGTGTACAATCATGCAGATGTATGTGTATGGAGACATGTACTGGTTTACTTGGTTACTTTCCATTATGCACATCAGCGTCTAAGACTGTTTCTATTGCACGCTCCCCTGTGTGTGAGTGTGTGTGTGTGTGTGTGTGTGCGCGTGTGTGTGTGTGTGTGTGTGTGTGACTGTCAGACAGTATACCGGTATACGTGTAACAGTGGTGTCAACGTGCCATGCATGTATCCCATGTGTAAATCTTTGCACCCTTAATTAAATAGCCGCATTGCTCTTGTTTTGTTTTGTTTTGATATTGTTTCAGTATCGGCAAAGAAACAGCCACTGAGACGCCTCTCGTCGGTATCATCTAGTAGTCGCCACCAACAAGCTGCACATAATCAACAGCAGCCCTGCAGTAACTTTGACCATCGCTGCTGCGAGGTCGTGCGCAGCCTGACGCAGCACAGCTCGGACGTGCGCTCGGAGCTGATCACGTTCCGCGCGACCATGGCGGGCGTGTTGTCGACGTTGACACAGTGCAGTGACATGTTCCAGCGCAAGGACGACCGCTTCCAGCGCATGCTGGACCACGAGCGCGATCGGCGGAAGCGACTCGAGTGCGCCCTCAGCGACTGCCAGGACAAGCTCCGCGACGCGCAAGACCGCTGGCACAAGGAATCGCTCAAGGCTGGTCCTGACTTCCAGGAGGGGCCTCACTGTCTGATCCGAGAGGAGGAGTTCCTGGATGCCTTCGAAGGCGAGCTCGACAGAATGGAGCAGGAGGAGCATGATCGTGTAAGTATATTAGCCGGTAACATAGGCGCCCCGGTATCACTGCAATGCAGACTATAGTAGGGCGGTACATACCGTCTATATAGTCAACCAGTTTGAAGTTTGAATTACATGTATACAAAGTCAGAAGATATGGCTGGCAGTGGCGCCTGCGAAGAAAACACATTGGCTGTGTTGTCCGGCCAGACCAAGCATGTAGCACAGATTGTCCACTGGGCCCTGACGATAAGAGGCAATAACCTGGGTACGGGTCCATTGTCCGTTTTAACTCATCATTTCTGTGATGTCTTTGTAAAGTGCTGGCTATGTCAGGTGGGCATCAGGGAGTCGTAGCATCTTTTGTAGGGAGACGACATAAGATCATAGTTCCCAAAATGATGTGCGTTTCAACCCCGGATTTGGAAGATTCGCATGATCTATGGCCTATGCAACTCATGATGGCAACCGCAGACTTGACCCGCTTACCTTAAGCACGGCCCAGGCACGTGATCCCACGTGCGAACGTGTCTACGTCGGCCCTGCCCCAAAGGCAACTGTGATAGGCAGCCCGGGGTCGACCCCCCCCCCCCTCCCCCCCCCCCCCCTGTGAGTTGGCATTTCAGTCGCCCAAGATGCTATGACTCCCGGGGGTGGGCACTGGCCAATACCATCATCTGTCTGCTACATTTTTCCCCATCACTTCTGTGTACCGCTATCCATAATGGCTAACGGCAGCCTGTTGTTTTTCTTGTCGTGTTGATTGCTACTGGCACAGGTGCACTCTGCCAATACAAAGTCTTTGTCAGATGACAGCAGCAATTCCAAGCTACACGAGTACCATGACATGCTCGAAGAAAAGCTGGAAGAGAATATCCGCTATTGCTACGAAGAAGTGACAAATGTTTGGTCGGTTGCGTTTGAAGACGGTGACCTAAAGGTAAGCCTTCCTTTCTTCTTCATACTTGGAGTATGTGAAGCCAGTGGGTTGGAGTATGTGAAGCCAGTGGTGTATCAAACTCTTCCTGGTCTTATTTGTGCCATGCTTGGCTGCCCTTTGGTCTGAATCCTTGCAAAGCAAAGCAATTGTTGGTGGTAGTAGTATCTGCTGACAGAGTTGATGCCTGTGGCATCTTAGCACTGTGTGCTGTCTTTGTGTTCAGATGCAATTCTATAATCTTGGCAGCTGATGAAATTTCTATGTACACTCCTTTGACACGGCGAGAGTAATCGGATGAAATCAATTCGTTGATTATCTGCTAGTACGTGCACCTTTCTCACCGCTTTCAAATCTGCAGCTGACCGCCTTGAGGTCAGCATGACAAACTCTTTGTACGGTGTGTGATGATGTTTCCGTGTGTGTTCATTTCACGCTGCACCTGCAGGTGTATCGTCGCGACATGGAAGAGGGCGGTGTGGTGGTGGACCCGTTCAAGGCTTACCACACGGTACCCGGCATAACTGCCTACGAGCTGTGCACCGCATTCTTCGATGACCAGTGTCGTATGGATTGGGAAAGTAGGTGCCTGCTCGAACCATATTGTTTGTTTCCTTTATTTTAGTACAGTAGTGCAATGCTCCTGGCATGAGTAATTTACGACTTTTGTACGGGGTTTGTCTACCACAGGTCCAGGATACGTCTGATACTGCGTTTTCAATACCGTAATTCCGCGCATATAAGCTCACGGGCCTGTATTCGGATATACGCCCACTATACGCCCACCTCCGTTTATAAGCCCATGTGCTACTTTAAAGATGACTTCATCTTGAAATTCTGTTGGGACGGCACCCATAGCGGAGTGACCCAAATTTGCGAAGAATCTGCTTCTGCTTACCTCGTTGTACCCAGTCTTATGACCTTCAAATACACACAGTGATTGAGAGCAGTGTTGGCATGCTCTTGTTGTAGTAGATGATTGGGAATTGATGGTGGCCAGCCGTGTACAGTACATATCTGTATAATAACTTTGACTTGATGGGCTTCAAGAACGCGATGTGTACTATCATATCTTGTTGTAGTCAGTTGATGCTACAGTTGTGGCAAGTGAAATAAATTCGACACTTCCCATAGGGGACAACGCCACAAATGGACACCAATGACGTAATGCACTGCACCTAATTTGTACTATAGAGCCGTGTGCATCTCAAACAGATTGAAAGGTCACAGCGTAGATACACACAGTTCACAAATATGGTACACATAAGGAGTATTGGTATCCAATCCCCATTCGTTTTTGCCAGCACCTTTTGAACCTTGACTGTGATGAGTACGAGTTTTGTCATCAGACAGATAAAGTTGTATGTAACACATGTACTGTACGTATGCAGGGCTGCAGACTGCATGGTGCAGTCCCTTATGCCAAGTGTCGGATTTCACTTGCCACAACTGTAGTTTGGTCTGTTCAATGCTGGCATAATCTTTAGCAAATCCGCTTTGTACAGGCGTGGAAACTTCAAACGTTGTCTGATCTCATTTCTTTGTCACTGTTGTCTTCCAACAGCAACCATCGAATCTCTGGATGTGATTGATCGCTATGGGGACAACACGGTTGTGGTCCACCAGCTACTAAAGCGAGTCTGGCCATCTTCGCAGAGAGAGATCGTCTTCCTCTCGGCCATGCGCGAACTACCGCCTCGTGGTCCTGACGAGAGGGGATTTGGCTACGTGGTGTGCAATATTTCCGTTGACCATCCGTCTGCGCCGGTGAGTGATCGTGAGATTCCAAAACACTGCATTACAACCAGTGCTTGCGGCTGCAGACGCTGATGTTCATGCCAAGGCTGGACTGCTATGCAAGCTGTGTTTTTTTATGAAGCCATGTATCAAAAACACAACTGCATGCTTCGGGTGTCAGCTCGTTCCACAAATTCTCGTGGTTTTAGTTGAACCTTGCTACTTCTCGTAGATGAGTCTTGCTTCTTTTTCAGATTTGACGGTGCGTATATGAAAACCGAAATGTGTACATGTGTGCATCCCGGGTGGGTAGCTGTCATGGCCAAGTTTCTAAGCTGCTTCAATGGTGTGATGAGGCACGTATAGGAGAGATTCAAGCACGACTGCACTAGTTGTATGTATCATTCCACGTGTACGTGTCTGCATCAGATATGATGCGCTCCAGGAATTTTCCAATAAGAACTAAAAGAAGAGAGCCTGATATCATTGAGCAGCCAAAGCAAATGATTGTTGTGTAAATTGTTGTTATATTAGACGCTGAAAGACTCTCCCCTGATATTCTATGTATGTTTCTCTCTCTCTCTCTCTCTCTCTCTCTCTCTCCACCGCCAGGCAAGCGGCAAGCACGTCCGTGCTCAAATCAATGTTGCCATGGTGGCGCACACGTTTGTCTCGGGTGTGGAGGAAGGCCAGCCGATTGACCGCAGTAACCTGACCTGCAAGATCACATACTCTGCAAATGGTAAGGAGTTCATATGTACGCGCACGCAACAACAATAGCAAAATAATCTCATATTTTTGGCCGAGTCATAAGGCTTGGTCATCCATCACAGGTTGCCTTTGGGCCCTAATTCTTGTTTTGCAGGACTTCTTGTCAATTATTTCTCCTCAAGTGAAGCAGAATCACGCTCACAATACCAACTTGTCATATCGACCAAAAAAGTAGCCGGAGACGTTCCATTTTAATAATAGCCACCGGAAAAGATAAGTAGTTTGTCTGTCTATCTCTTCTACCATCCCTAACTACAGCAAATGACGTGAAATCTTAGCTTGTTAAAATTCAACTCAGTCTTGTGAGCCAATCGGTGAGTTATGGGAAGCATAGTGTTCGAATGCAAAACATTGCAAAGTTGCAGTTGCGCACATCGTGATGAGTCGGCGCACGACACCGTCGCCAGTTCACACTCGAAATGCGACCGTTTTGTACGCTTGCGTCCCCGCGAATGGTATGCACATGTGAACAGCTTCAACTCTTCTGTTGCGTGCCTCATGACTTGCGCCGATCGACCTTGAACATCGCAACAACTGCTGTGTGTTGTGCTGTACGAATCGTACACGATTTTACAGCTTGCTGCAGCCTTCCCAACAGGCTCGAATGTCCTTGCTTCTCGATCTGTACGGCTGCGTTCCCGTTCTTTTCCTGGCGTTTACACTTGTCGTTCCGTCGGTTCTCGTCGCTCATGACGCCGCGTCCCTTCGTGCCCTATCGAATGTGAACTAGGCTTGATGAAGTTTCCCTGATATTCTTTCAGCCAACCCATATTTGCCTTGTTCTACCTTTCCTCCTCTCACCCTGCAGTAAACCCGGGTGGCTGGGCACCGCCGTCCGTTGTCCGTGCGATATCAAAGCGCGAGTACCCAAAGTTCCTGCGTCGTTTCTCCTCGTACGCAGCGACACGTGTTGAGAATGAGCCAATACAGTTTCAGTCCTCGTCACAGGTTAGCACTCCCGGCTTGGACGAAGATGTGATATCGACCACCAGTGTCGAATAGAGAACACCCTTGTGCTATGCTGTCGTTATCGTTTCTCGTTCTCTTGTCGGTATTCGGGTCTGCGTTGTTGGTGTTTTTGTTGTTGTGTCTGCCAAGTGGTGTGAGCAAAAGAGTCTTGGTATTTTATTCTCCTATATTCATATTTTGATCATTCTTACTAATTTATTCCACCGAGTTGTATAAATTCTCACTTTTGTAGCTTTTATATGGGATTCCTGTACGTAATGTTGCTCTACAGTGGCGTAGAACTTTAGCCTGTCATTGTCATGCATCGTTGTTGTTGTCATCGTTGTCTTTCCCTGGTTTCTCTTGTCATGTGTGTAGCTAATATCTGTCCGGTTGCACTGGCGCCCGATGTGCACATGCCATACATGCACCGGGTCCCCGGCGCCACTGTTCCCCCTCTGTCGCACTTGTCCTCGCCTCCCGAACACCCCCTACTCCTGTTCGCTGTGCTGTGTTGTTGCCGTCGTTGCTGCCGTGCGGCTCGGCGTAGCTGCACTGCGCGCTGCTCTCCTCTTTGTCTGCCCGGTTTGTCGTTCGTATACGATTTTTAGCATGCCGTTTTGACTAGCAAATCCTGTCTGTGCACAGGCAACTGGCATGGACTTCACGGCTGTCGTTGCACGAAGTTACTTTCCGCCCCTAAAGATCATCATCCTGCTGCCTTTCTAGTTTCTTTACTTCCTTGAACTGTGCTCTCCCTTCCCCCTCCTCTTGCAGCGATAGACTAGCTTGCTGCGCCTGCTCATAGTTGTGGTGAGGTGCTCTTGTTTGTTGCTGTTGTATCCTGATTCCTGGTCTGGCTACATGCCGCCATGCTCATGCCCCCGTGGCCTGGCATGGCTTTCTCAACTTTGCCCTAAACGAAGCGATTATGCTCTTGAGAAAGTCTTGGCTGTTTCGTGCCTGCGCTCGGTTGCTCGTGTGTGTGTGTCTATGTGGGTGTGCCTCTGTGTATGTGCATGCGCTCAAGTGATGTATGAATTCCACGGATTGCAGAATTGCCGCAGAATCCAGCAGTAGGGACGTTTAGCAATGCGAAAATTCGAACTTTTGGTGGTGGCGATATTTCGCGAAAATCTATTTCGAAAAAGAAAACTTGCGAGGTTTAGCAATGCGAAACGACTTTTTCTCGAAGCTATTTTGAATCTTATAGTACCGTACCGTATATGCAGCTCAGTCTCAAGCAGGAGGCTATAAAATTACTACTCCCTGTAGTGAAATGCGTACCGAGAAAAGAGAAAGTTACTTTCGCAAATCACTGCAACTTCGCGTCCAAGTTTTCGAAGTTTCGACCTTTGTTTCTGTACTCATTCCCAGACTCGAATTTTCTTTCGAACTTTCGCGTTGCTAAACATCCTTATTAGAGAGGTTCCGCACTACGTAAAGTTGAGCAACTTTACGTTAGTGGGCGGGAAAAACCCGTGAATTCGCGAGTTTGCACTCCACTTACGGAAAGTTGTCTACGTAGAGTACGTAGATAGTGCTCTGATAACGTAGCTGGTCCGTAAGTGGATTGGGGTACAAATTTATGACTCTCTCCCCAGGTCGATCTGGTCGTACACTGCCATGTTCGGAGTTGCCAAGGGCAGCTACGTGATTTGAAAACTCCGTATGGCGGAACCCAGATCGGCATGCAGTTTACGTAAGACTTTCCGTAGATCGACTACGGTTTTTACTAACGTAATTACGTTATGCGGAACCTCTCTATTGTCCGCAAAATCCAGCAGAATATTTCAGCAAAGGACGAGAAACATCCTTTTTTGCAAATTTGTGATGTGTGCTCCCCAGCCAAACCAACCTGATCATGACGTTCAAAGTTGAATTCTAGTTCTCTTTCTTTTACCCAGGACTTCAGACATCTTTAGTTTAGAATTTATAACGACGACAAATGTTGAAGTAGTTGTGGAGATTCCTACTTTGGTATGCTAATTTTCTCGTGGAGTTGCCTCAGAATATAGAAAAATTGCAGAATTTCTGATATTTCACAGCGGAACCCCGGGACAGATGTACCGTTATCACGTTAACGATAATTCCCGGGCTCTTGATAGTGGTCTATTCACATCCTGCCAATATTTCAGGACCGACTAGGCTGCGACCCAATCTATCCTCACAGGATATGAAGGCGACTCCGTGGATGCTCAATTGTTTTAGGGAATTTTTGGCTTTCATCCGCGTTTTCAGAAACATAAATTCCCACGAGTACATAAGCGGCAAAGTTGTATATGTGCATGAGAATGTACAAGTATTCCGCACCAATGACAACTGATAATCCTTGCACAATGGCCATGTGATGACAGTTTTGACCGCAGTAATTAAAAAAAAAAAAAAATTCGAGGAATTCGCCGGAGACAAATTCTGCGGGGATAGCCCAATATACAATGTAGGTTTCCTGTTTCATTGCGTCTCTGTCTGCTGACCAATGCACTGCCTTGTACTGCCTTGTACTGTACTGCTTGTAGTCCTACCAAGAGTACATAAACCAGAGTGTGCAACTCGCTGATGGTTCCTGTGGGAGCGTAATTCGTGCAGTACGTCATTTCCGACGGCATGGTAAGCCACAGATATCTAGATACGGTGAAAAGTTGCGTAACCAGTCACGGTGGTGCAGGTCACTGAGTTTGTCCTGATGTCGGTTTTTTGATACGGATAGCATGGTGAATCTACTTGCCAGCGCATATACACAGCGTACGCAGTCACACAAAAACACTGAAATCCTAAAACAGGACGTCTAAATCATGCAAACTTGGCTGATTTCCGGACTTTGAAACACGAATATTTGAGCTGTACGCAAGTCGCAACTTGGTTGCCCTCATCAGGGTGACGTAGTGCACGAACTGCGCTGTTTCAGATCTGATATGCACAGTTGCACACTCTGGTTTATGTGGTCGTACCAGTAGAGGACCGAAAAGGCATGATTTCGCCCTGTTTTGTTCAAATTTCTACCGCATCTACGTACAATGCGCATCCTGGTGATTTACAATGTACCCTGCGTTGGACTTGCGTACTTGATGGTGATTGGCGCTGGAAGTGCTGTGCACGTCCCAGCAAGTGAAAGTGCCGTGCACGTCCCAGCAAGTGAAAGTGCCGTGCACGTCCCAGCAAGTGAAAGTGCCGTGCACGTCCCAGCAAGTGAAAGTGCCGTGCACGTCCCAGCAAGCGAAAGTGCCGTGCACGTCCCAGCAAGCGAAAGTGCCGTGCACGTCCCAGCAAGTGAAAGTGCCGTGCACGTCCCAGCAAGTGAAAGTGCCGTGCACGTCCCAGCAAGTGAAAGTGCCGTGCACGTCCCAGCAAGTGAAAGTGCCGTGCACGTCCCAGCAAGTGAAAGTGCCGTGCACGTCCCAGCAAGTGAAAGTGCCGTGCACGTCCCAGCAAGTGAAAGTGCCGTGCACGTCCCAGCAAGTGAAAGTGCCGTGCACGTCCCAGCAAGTGAAAGTGCCGTGCACGTCCCAGCAAGTGAAAGTGCCGTGCACGTCCCAGCAAGTGAAAGTGCCGTGCACGTCCCAGCAAGTGAAAGTGCCGTGCACGTCCCAGCAAGTGAAAGTGCCGTGCACGTCCCAGCAAGTGAAAGTGCCGTGCACGTCCCAGCAAGTGAAAGTGCCGTGCACGTCCCAGCAAGTGAAAGTGCCGTGCACGTCCCAGCAAGTGAAAGTGCCGTGCACGTCCCAGCAAGTGAAAGTGCCGTGCACGTCCCAGCAAGTGAAAGTGCCGTGCACGTCCCAGCAAGTGAAAGTGCCGTGCACGTCCCAGCAAGTGAAAGTGCCGTGCACGTCCCAGCAAGTGAAAGTGCCGTGCACGTCCCAGCAAGTGAAAGTGCCGTGCACGTCCCAGCAAGTGAAAGTGCCGTGCACGTCCCAGCAAGTGAAAGTGCCGTGCACGTCCCAGCAAGTGAAAGTGCCGTGCACGTCCCAGCAAGTGAAAGTGCCGTGCACGTCCCAGCAAGTGAAAGTGCCGTGCACGTCCCAGCAAGTGAAAGTGCCGTGCACGTCCCAGCAAGTGAAAGTGCCGTGCACGTCCCAGCAAGTGAAAGTGCCGTGCACGTCCCAGCAAGTGAAAGTGCCGTGCACGTCCCAGCAAGTGAAAGTGCCGTGCACGTCCCAGCAAGTGAAAGTGCCGTGCACGTCCCAGCAAGTGAAAGTGCCGTGCACGTCCCAGCAAGTGAAAGTGCCGTGCACGTCCCAGCAAGTGAAAGTGCCGTGCACGTCCCAGCAAGTGAAAGTGCCGTGCACGTCCCAGCAAGTGAAAGTGCCGTGCACGTCCCAGCAAGTGAAAGTGCCGTGCACGTCCCAGCAAGTGAAAGTGCCGTGCACGTCCCAGCAAGTGAAAGTGCCGTGCACGTCCCAGCAAGTGAAAGTGCCGTGCACGTCCCAGCAAGTGAAAGTGCCGTGCACGTCCCAGCAAGTGAAAGTGCCGTGCACGTCCCAGCAAGTGAAAGTGCCGTGCACGTCCCAGCAAGTGAAAGTGCCGTGCACGTCCCAGCAAGTGAAAGTGCCGTGCACGTCCCAGCAAGTGAAAGTGCCGTGCACGTCCCAGCAAGTGAAAGTGCCGTGCACGTCCCAGCAAGTGAAAGTGCCGTGCACGTCCCAGCAAGTGAAAGTGCCGTGCACGTCCCAGCAAGTGAAAGTGCCGTGCACGTCCCAGCAAGTGAAAGTGCCGTGCACGTCCCAGCAAGTGAAAGTGCCGTGCACGTCCCAGCAAGTGAAAGTGCCGTGCACGTCCCAGCAAGTGAAAGTGCCGTGCACGTCCCAGCAAGTGAAAGTGCCGTGCACGTCCCAGCAAGTGAAAGTGCCGTGCACGTCCCAGCAAGTGAAAGTGCCGTGCACGTCCCAGCAAGTGAAAGTGCCGTGCACGTCCCAGCAAGTGAAAGTGCCGTGCACGTCCCAGCAAGTGAAAGTGCCGTGCACGTCCCAGCAAGTGAAAGTGCCGTGCACGTCCCAGCAAGTGAAAGTGCCGTGCACGTCCCAGCAAGTGAAAGTGCCGTGCACGTCCCAGCAAGTGAAAGTGCCGTGCACGTCCCAGCAAGTGAAAGTGCCGTGCACGTCCCAGCAAGTGAAAGTGCCGTGCACGTCCCAGCAAGTGAAAGTGCCGTGCACGTCCCAGCAAGTGAAAGTGCCGTGCACGTCCCAGCAAGTGAAAGTGCCGTGCACGTCCCAGCAAGTGAAAGTGCCGTGCACGTCCCAGCAAGTGAAAGTGCCGTGCACGTCCCAGCAAGTGAAAGTGCCGTGCACGTCCCAGCAAGTGAAAGTGCCGTGCACGTCCCAGCAAGTGAAAGTGCCGTGCACGTCCCAGCAAGTGAAAGTGCCGTGCACGTCCCAGCAAGTGAAAGTGCCGTGCACGTCCCAGCAAGTGAAAGTGCCGTGCACGTCCCAGCAAGTGAAAGTGCCGTGCACGTCCCAGCAAGTGAAAGTGCCGTGCACGTCCCAGCAAGTGAAAGTGCCGTGCACGTCCCAGCAAGTGAAAGTGCCGTGCACGTCCCAGCAAGTGAAAGTGCCGTGCACGTCCCAGCAAGTGAAAGTGCCGTGCACGTCCCAGCAAGTGAAAGTGCCGTGCACGTCCCAGCAAGTGAAAGTGCCGTGCACGTCCCAGCAAGTGAAAGTGCCGTGCACGTCCCAGCAAGTGAAAGTGCCGTGCACGTCCCAGCAAGTGAAAGTGCCGTGCACGTCCCAGCAAGTGAAAGTGCCGTGCACGTCCCAGCAAGTGAAAGTGCCGTGCACGTCCCAGCAAGTGAAAGTGCCGTGCACGTCCCAGCAAGTGAAAGTGCCGTGCACGTCCCAGCAAGTGAAAGTGCCGTGCACGTCCCAGCAAGTGAAAGTGCCGTGCACGTCCCAGCAAGTGAAAGTGCCGTGCACGTCCCAGCAAGTGAAAGTGCCGTGCACGTCCCAGCAAGTGAAAGTGCCGTGCACG